AGTACTTCAGATGGGCGCTTCTCAGTCAAAAGCGCGTATCAGATGGCCATGCCCGCCGCCTCGCCAGGCGATCCAAAGAAGTGGAAATCGATTTGGAATCTTCCAGTTCCAGAACGAGTGAGATGCTTCCTTTGGCTCGTAGCGTTGGGCAGGATTAGCTCAAATGAACTTCGGTCTCAGAGAAGGATCTCCCAGTCTGATGCATGTTACAGATGCCCGAGTCAGCGGGAGACGATCCTCCACATCTTCAGGGACTGCCCCACAGCGACTTTCTTCTGGCATAGAACAGTCCCCGCGGCTGAGCAATCGAGCTTCTTCTCAGCTTCGACCGACGAGTGGATTCAAAGGAATATTATCAGGGAGGAGGCCACTGCTACGGGAGTGCCATGGAATGCGTTCTTTGCCATTGCTATATGGCTTCTTTGGAAAAACAGGAACGAAGGATGCTTCCGGGGTATCAATCAGACTCTCACTCCGTCTTCCCTCACGCACGCAATTCAGGTCAAAGCTAAGCTCTGGTTTGATGCCTGGAATGCACCGACGGTGGGAGCTAGCAAAAAAGGGGTCCCACAGCAACGAGTTGAGGCTGAAATTGGGTGGTATCCCCCTCCTAGTGGTTGGCTGAAGTTGAATGTGGACGGGGCGTCGACAGGGAATCCGGGGAAAGCTGGTGCGGGTGGAGTGCTCCGGGATAGCAATGGCGTTTTTTTTCCCCAAGGCAAGCCCAAAGGGCATGGGACAAAGACTCGACACAATTACACACTAGCTCAAAAATTGCACGATAGTCCGTATGCAACCGGACTACGATGAAAGAGCCTGATAAGCCACTACATGGGCAGCTCTGAAGAAGCTCCGTGGAGCAAAGACACGACACTGACGGAAGAAAAACTAAAATAAGAAAAAACAACATCTCCAAGATAGTCCCGCCAGCGAGTGTAGTTTCCTTCGACGGAATATGCCGGATGACCAGTATCGAGTTGCCCCAAAAAGCCACAACAAATAAAAGAAAAGGACATTAGCAATATTGGATAGAGCATGCTTAATTACTCTCATAAATTTATAAAAGCGAATAAAATCGAACAATCACCTGATAGATAGATGAAACTTATTTTACTTCAATTATTCTCATACCAAATAACCACCTGCAAAATGACCAATCAAAGAAGCACAACTATGGTGCTAGAAATCTCTATCACAAGAGATTAAATCTTGCCCAGAAGGCAAAGTCGACCTTATCGAAATACACCAACAATGGTAATATTCATCTCTTGTAAGTGCAATACACTCACTATCAATGAAACGAACATAAATTACAAGGGAAACAAATTAATCCGCTTTAAAGTTGCTAAATAATGATGGTTTAAAATTATAGATCGATTAGCGCTTGGACGAAAAAGGACTGAGAGCCAGCTAATTGGGTTCCTAAAGGGTTTTGCTAGCAATGGCGTTTGGCTAAAGGGTTTTGTTGCAAGCCTTGGCCACTGCTCGGCGACCCTAGCAGAGCTTTGGGCGATTTTTCATGGGCTGTCAATGGCATGGAACTACGGGAGCAGAACTCTTATGGTGGAATCAGACTCGAAGATGGCGCTGGACCTCATCAAGAACAGAACAGACCCCCTTCATCCTTACTCCACTTTGATCGCTGAGATCCGTCGGATGGTGGCTCAGGATTGGGTGGTGCGATTGGGTCATACATACCGTGAAGGGAATAGAGTCGCGGACTGGCTCTCGAAGCACAGTCTCGTCTATCCCTACGGTGTGTATGAACTAGCGACGCCCCCGCCCGGAGCAAGTCCGATTGCGAGTGATGATACTAGAGGAGTGACGTTCACTAGGAATATTGTTATATCGAACTCTCCTCCCCCTTCCTCCTCCTCCTCTCCTACTGTGTAGCTCGTCCCTTTCTCTGCTTCTGCGGCCTTAAGTGCCTCCCTTGAATGCAAAAAAAAAATATAAACAATAAAATGGTTGCTTTAAGACCGTTGCAAAAGAAGCAATGTTATTGGCTAATTTTTGAACCATTAAGCACATGACACGTGACCCACTGGACTTGGCAAAGACAAGGAAAAAATGACAACTTCTGCATAAGTTGGTCTTGAGTTTCCTATTCATGCTCTGGGTTCGATTCTTGGTGAAGAAGAAAAAGCATTCTTTAGTATAAGCTTGGTAGTTGGGTCTTGAACCGACCCATGCATGTTGGTTTGTGACATGGAAATTGGGTAATAAGTGATCTCATTTTTCTGATGAATAATGTGGATGAGAATAGTTTACCTATGGTACATTTTGTGAAATGACCATGGACAAATTGATGTTACAAGTTGTGTCTGTGAATCATTCTCATGTGTAAGTGGATGATCTATCATGATATGTTGAATGTGATTCATTGGTTATTATTCGACAAAAATGACTATTTTAAGTGAAAGAATGTATGTGATGAGTTAGGGGAAAGTTAATATGCTAACTTAAAAATTCGTTAGCAGATACTAACTGATATTCAAAATATATGAACTAGTATCCAAGTACTAAAGTATCTAAAGAGCACATACTAGTATTCAAGGTTTGCTAACTGATATCCATCATGAATCAACTATTATCCCAAATTCACAAACTAATATCTAGACAACACAGAATAATATCCATACAGCACATAATTAGTATCCAAATAACACATAAGAGTATCTAGATAACACATAAGAGTTTCTATATTGGATACTAGTTTGTGGTGTTTTGAATACTAGTCTGTGCTATCTAGATATCCACCATGAATCAGCATATTTGGATACTAGTTCATACATTTTGGATATTAGTGAGTATATACTAACAACTTGTGCAGTTAGCAGAATAAGTAGGCTGGATGAGTTATATCTTGTTAATTTGTCGATATGAGCAACGATTTGTGAATGGTTCTACTATGTGTTGTGATTGATCGATCATGAAATAGATAGGTTTTTTTATGAAAAAAATATATAGAAACTATTTATCTATAGTCAATCAATACGAGATGTAGAAAATGGAATGAAACAAAAAATTGAATCGAGCCTCTGCTTTCTTGCCAAGTGATTTCATAGGGTAAATTGCAAGGTTGGTCACTGAAAGTATTTTATTCTATTCGTGGTCACTAGAAGTGGTTAAACGTTCACGTTTGGTCACTCTCCGTTAATCTCCGTCAGATTCCATTAACACCATTAGTATGTTGCTGATGTGGCTAACAGAAGTGCCTACTCAGCCAAATTTAACCGGCCACATCACAAAATCCTACCCACCACATCATAATTCCTAACCCAAGCCCCAACCCATAACCCAACCTTCTCTTTTGACCAACTCAACTCATTAACCCCTCTTCCCACCCAAATATCATCCCTGGCATTGCTTGAAGATAGAACATGCGACCCCCTTTTCCCCATCTCCTCGTCTGTGTTCCCAGATTCTTTAACTAGGTAGAGACGCAAGATAGAACCCACCAACATTTGCATACAACGCCAACCAATGCTTAGTTGTTCCTCTTGCATTGGGTATTGGGGTTTAGAATCGGCACTTGGGTATGAATTGTGTGCCGCCGCAATAGCCCACCCCGCGAGATTTTGAAGAAGACGATTGTGGGTTCTAAATCCCTAAGGGTTCTGTGTTCCAGCGGGGTTGGTGTGGTTGGCTTATTTGGTGGCTATGCTTTGTGATTAGGGTTTTATTTTCTAGGTTTTCATAAGGGGTGGGGGTTTTTAGGAATCAATTTGGCTGGGAGGGGATATTTGTTGAAGTTGGAAGTGGAAGTTTGGATCTCGCAGTGGAGGGTTTTATTGCAATCTCATCTCAGTCGCTAATTAACTTGCTTCTCACTTTGGAGAGTATCAAATGGCGTCTAACAGCGCACGCTGGAGGGTTTTTTATGTGACAAAAGTTCAACGATGGACACGGGAAATCGAGGAGACTAGAAGAGAGCAAATTCGGACGAGAGCGGCGACAACTGTAGGTATGGTGGCGTCGGTGGGATGATAGGGATTCCTCCTCTACATCCTCTCGTCTTGACCTGCAAACCCTCGACAATGCTGGCTTTGCTGAGGAAGGTGTTGTAGGTGGCATCGGAGTGTGGGGTGAATCCCAGCACCAACTCTGGTTGCAGGCAAGGAGGGTATTATATGATCGCCACCGACTGCAACCCATCCTTCATCTTCACCGCCTTCTCGTTTTCCTTCACCTCGACTGCCTCTTCTATCGTCACAAGGAAGAAAGCAGAGTTGCTTGACTCAATTTTTAGGTTGGGCGGGTCAAAAGAGAAGGTTGGGTTATGGGTTGGGCTTGGGTTAGGATTTATGATGTGGCGGGTCGGGTGTTATGATGTGGCAGATTAAATTTGGTTGATTAGGCACTTTTGTTAGCCACACTAACAAAATACTGACGGTGTTAATGGAGGATGACGGAGACTAACGGAGAATGACCAAACGTAAAACGTTTAACTACTTCTAGTGACCACGAGTGAAATAAAATACTTTTAGTGATCAAACGTGACGTTTTTAACACTTCCAGTGACTAACCTTGCAATTTACCCGATTTCATATATGCAGGGACACTATCGTCATTTTTGAAGGTGGCAGATGTTTATTTTCCCACAAAGGTAAGTAAAAGGAGGAATTTTACAATGCTATATAGTATTGGTGCTATAGGTTTTTGCCTTTATGGCACAGGTTGAAATTGTACATTTATATTATGGTACAACTTCAGGTTGTACCTATACTTTTTGTACAAATTCTTTTATGGTACAACTTGAACTTGTACCTTTATGTGATGGTACAACTTCAAGTTGTAAAGTTGTACCATAACATAAAGATACAAATTTTTTTATGGTACAACCTAAACTTATACATTTAATGTTATGGTACAACTTCAAATTGTACATTAAAGCACCAATACTATATAGCATAGTAGAAGTGCTCAAGTAAAAGGGAGAACATACCTCTTGTTGCTGTGCCTTATAAAACTCAATCACTCTCTCCTCAAAACCAAGAATAATCTCTCAAATCTGAAATCTTTTCTTTCCTTTCTTCCTTCTCCTTTCTGTCACTTCTCTGCTTCAAACTTGCAACCTTTCTCCCCTTTACCAGAGGAAAACCAACAACCCCAGAAACCACAGACCAATTTCCCCATTTCCGCAGAAGTCACAGAAAGGCCCAGAAATTCAAATGCCTTGACAATCCAACATCTCTGAAAGTGAAACCCTTTTGCATAACCATTTCCCCGTTCAATACAAACAAAGGGTACAGATGAGTTTCAGCTCTCTTCACTCCCAAAGTTTCTACATTGCCCTGAAAATCCCCACCAGCTTCTTTCGCCGCAAGCTCTAAAGGGTAACTGGTTTTCCCCCTGAAGCCCAAATTCCATCGTCTCTCTGCCCATTTCAGTTGAGGAAAACAGAACGACGAAATCCCTCTCTGTCTCTGATCATATATGGCGAACAACCCAGTCTCCGGCGGTTTCGTCGGTTTTGGCCTCCTCTCCTGCGATCCTCTCTGGATACCTCCTCCTTCCGTCGATTTCCACGGTAATTTCACATTTTCCCTTTTCACTGCCGAAACCCTTTTTTTTCTGTTTCATCCTCTGTTTTCTCTTAACGGAATGCCTTTTCTATTCTCAGGGGAAAGACATATGGTGGATTTCGACAATGTTGGGTGCGGAGACGCCATGGACGGAGGATGTCTCTTCCACTCTCTGGTGAAAGAAGAGCTCTGCGACGAGGATTTCGAACTGGGTTCCAGCCCTAGAGGGAAGAAACGGCGGCTGACCATTAGTCAAGTTCAGTCCCTGGAAAGGAGCTTCGAGATGGAGAACAAGCTGGAACCAGAGAGAAAAGTCCAGCTTGCCCAGGAGCTCGGCTTGCAGCCTCGCCAGGTCGCCATTTGGTTCCAGAATCGCCGGGCTCGGTTCAAGAACAAGCAGCTGGAGAGAGATTTCGACTCCCTCCGCGCCAATTTCGACCGCCTCAAAGCCGATTACAGCTCCCTGCTCCATGAGAACGAAACCCTAAAAAACCAGGTAAAAAAGAGAACAAAAAACCCCTGCTTTCCTAATCTCCTGAGAAACCTCCCCAAATAATTCGCCTGATTGTGTCGAGAATTTTCCCACAGGTGAATTCACTGAAGGAGAAATTAGGGGTGAAGGGGAATCTGACTAATTCAGGTGGAACGGCGACGTTTCTAGTCCCGGCGGCGATTGTCCCGCCGCCGCCGATGAAGCCAGAGGAAGCTGCCGCCGCGGCGGCGAAGAAGAGTGACCCGATTATCAATTCGGACAGCCCGCATTCGGTGTTGATGGAAGCGACGGAGTCGTCGCAAGTCTTTGAGGAGAATCAGTCGGATTACTTCTCCCAGGACGAAGACGATACTCTGCACAACAACAACAACAACAGCAACGAACTTCTGATGATGGCTCAGCAACCCATTAATGGCTTCCCCAAATTCAACGAGCTTCCCGGCGTGCCCAATCCCTGCGGTTTCGAGTTTCCTGTGGAGGATCAGCCCTTTCTGGTGCTGGATTCGATGAATTGGATGTGATTTTTAAACCATAAGGAAAGTCCGTCCAGAGTTTCCCGGAGGCTTTGTAAGAACCAGAAAGCAACCCAAAAATGTTCAGTAGTAGTTCCAATTTCACCACAACTCATCACAAGAAAAGATTGGCGCTCTTGGTGCTAACCACGGTAGTTTAATCATGTGGTTGCTGTAAGCAATGCATGGCACTCAGACGAGAAAGTTGGCTTGGAGTGAAGCGAAGTTGCCCAGGGCGTCAATGGTTTACTTAATTAGTAAATAAGTAAAATGTAGAGTGCTTTACTTGCTGAGTTATTATAACTCTCTGCTTAGGGCGAGTTCCCTGTGTAAATAAGCAAAACCAAAACCCATTTTCAGCCTGTCTTGCTGAAGCGGAGTTGTCTGATATTTCAGTTACTTTCTTTTTCCTTCAATGGCGAAGCTTATTCATGGTCGGATGAAAGCAAATAAACAATATATACTTCTTCGTTTCCTTTTTGGGGGTGGATCTTCCTTCGCATAACCATGACTTGTGGCCCTGAGGGAGAAGACACTGGAGGTTGTTGACAGCCACCAAAACAAAACAACTTTTGAAACAAAACCAAAGGGGATGTTGACATACTATTGCAAGGTTAGACATAGATTTTTGAGTTACTATTGCAACTTGATCCTAGAGTGATTACTAATAGTAATACTTAGGGATGACAATCAAACTCATGGCCGCGGGTACCCGATCGCCCCCGACCCAGTCAACGCGGGGAATCTCCGCTTTGACCGGATATGGGGCGGGTATGGGTAAAACCAGCAAAAAGTTTGATGGGTATGGGGCGGGTATGGTTTTGGCCTCCCCTGCCCCATACCCATACCCATACCCGTTCCACCAAGAGAATTTCTTCACATATAAAAATATATGTGGATTAAATTGTAATCTATCAATGGTGATGAGGTTAACTCGAGGAGATACATAGTAGAAATGCAATTGAGTGACCACTTTAATCAAAATCTAATTCATTTCCCTCAATTCTACTTTCACTCTTTCACTTTCCCCCTTGTCAACAAGATTATGTTAGTTAACTATTACTTAGAAGATGTATCAGAATCAGAAGATAATAATTTGAAAAATATTATACTCTATATTATGTATTAATGGATGCTTTAGGATCATATAGTTTGAACCGTATTAAGAAAATGATTGTATATTGTTGACTTCATGATATTATAGGTTTGTTTAGAGTTATAATTAAAACTTTTCTTGTAAGTTTTAGATATAATAATGTTTGATATACGGGTACGGGTATTACCCATGGGTATGGGGATGGGTTAGCAAAACATTCCCCCGCATGGATATGAAGCGGATATGGATTTGGATATTTGAAGATGGGGATGGGGATGGTTTAGACAAACCCGCCCCAAACCCGCCCCATTACCATCCCTAATACTTTTGTAAGCCTGTAAGAATACACATGATAGGTTCCAATCAAGATGCACTTGATCAAGTTCAAGAGCAGTCGATGTCTTCGTCATATTTTGAAGGTATTGTTCATTTGTACGGTTGGTGTTCATATTCTTATTTATCAAAGTGACATTTTTTTTTTTTTACTGTGAGACGCTATTTAAGGGATTGGACCCTGAGAGGGTGAGACCTCCAAATTGAAGAACAAAGTGACTATACCATTAGATCAAACTCTTATATTCAAATTAGGTGTTCATTCTTATATATCATTCTAACACATTTGTTATATTATCCCATGCAAGTCAATACTCCCTCCAATCTTGCCAATGTAGAAGACTTGGACCATCATTATCTTCTAATTTAGGCCTAATAATTTCCAATTCTTTAGCATAACAATTTTGGTCACATAATTTTACCATCAATAAAAACAAATTTGTATCATCCTTATACCATACTTTAATTCAGTTTTAAATCCAACTAAATGCTTAAACAAAAAACAATACTAACACTTCAGATAACATTACTTTAAAATAGAGTGAAACTAAACGAGGCATCAACTCCTTTAACTCATTGTGTATTTATTTATTTTGATTATAAACGACTGATAATAAATAATAACTGCACGAGTACCTGTCAATATTGATAATTGTTTAACCTGACCAGATATAGTCTTATTAAAGAATATCTTGCTGATATAAACAAATTATAAAAAGAGGCTTTGCTGATATCGACACATATGTTCTTCACAATTTCTGTTCCATAAAATGTATAAATAAATATATAATTCTCTTTCTTTTAATTAATCTATTATTATTTGATACATGCTTGAATTTGGTGGGATGTGGGTTGCAAATATGAAATCTTTTTGTTTTTGTTTTTGTTTTTTTAAGAAAAAGGATGCAAGTATAAAGATAGTGAATAATTTGTTGGGTTGATAGATTGGAGTCATGTTTATATAGCAAGGATACAATATTTTGATATTCGAAAGATGATATCGTATATTTGAAATCTTAAAGTTCACATAACAGCATATGCAATGTAATCCAATTAGGAAAGGTAAGATCACCAACATCAAGCATAAAAGTTCCGATGAGTTGTGTTTGCCTTGCGGTTTGAAGGCAAAATCGTATGAACAGTAAAATCATTGAAATAAACTAATTATTTCAAGTTTTCTAATGAAACAGTAATTGTTTCAATTAAACTCTTCATTTTGCAGAAAGGGACATCTACAATTTGGTAAATTAGTTTAATTTATCCTCGTGAAAAGTAGGTGGAAAAAAGATATCGCTTTCTTCCCAGTTACTTTCATTTTATATTTTTCCAATGTTGATATCAAGTTGGAAACTCTAATGAGTACAGAGTGAAAGGAATTTTATATGATAATGTTGCTCATTGATAATATTAATTAATTTATATTATTTTTATAATCTATTATCAAACAGATAATATTTTACACTATTTTAAAAAAAATCTTTTTTGAAACCATACTGATTTTGTATTTAACTTGTATACTAAGTTACTAACAACTGCTTGGAATCAAGCCCAGCTTATTTGTTTTCTTGCCATTTTGGAAGCAATGATTGGGTCATCAAAACTAGCTTCAAATTGTGATAATTTGTTTTTATGCAAATGTACAATCATATGATATTGGAGATTAAGATCACTGAGCAACTCATCAACAACCTATTTTACTAGATCATTCTTATGTAATATTTAAATGAATGATTAATGTTGAAATGACTTGTTTATTTGAAAAAAATGTGGATATTTTTCGTTTTGTAGTAATTTGAATTTCCTAAGGAAGAGGGGAATTCGATCAATCCTGCTTGACGAATCGCTTGGCTAAAAATACCTCATTTAAGAGGTAATAAAACATCCAAACTATGAATTAAGAAAGTGTGTATGTAGCAAGGATTTTAAAACCGTACAGAAGATTATAATATTTTGTACTGATACCATAGTTTAATTGATATTCAACAGTTTCATAAACAAACAAAGTCATTACCATAAAAATATTAATATGGACATGCATAAAACATTGATACAGTAGTTAGCAAGAAAATTGGTACTTACTTTTTGACCCTAAAGGAGTAGATTATTCAATGATGTGGACCATGTGACAAGTCTATTACTTCAAGTTACTAATTTTGGGGAAGCATGTTGATCGAAAAAGAAAACCCAATAATCAAAAAGTAATTTTTTTAAAAAAAAATAATCCTTTCTAAACAGCCCCTAAAAATCAGTAAATAAAAAATTAGTCAAAGAAAACCCCATAGAGCAGAAAGAAAGAAGCAACCAACCAACCAAAAAACAGAATATATTTCCAGGGTCAAGTCAACAACATCATGCTGTACATTTCATATTTTTTATACCAACTTAAATTTGTGAAAGGCCAACCAATGGCATCTATGAAGAAATTCTGTGACGAAGATCTTCACGTTCTAATGTTTTTTTTTTGTTTAATGAAATGTAGTATTAAGATTCTTAAACTGGTTTATATACCACTTATACTGGTTTAGTAAGTGCTATGGTTCGGTCGGAACTCGGAATATAGTAATGGCAATGACAGGTCGAAATGTAGCATCCAGGTGCCCCCTCTGTTTTTTGTTTCTTCCCCTTGGGTGGGGGAATTGATAGTTACAGTCTGTAGTATGTTTTTATGAGAATAGATACAATTGTGTAGTCACAGTAACCATTCTGAGTTCCAAAAGTCACTTTTACTTCCATTTAGGGGATGCCGCGAGCGGTTCGATCGTTCAACTCGAGAAAAGCTCGTTTGAATATTGGCTCGTTAATAAACGAGCCGAACACGAGCTAATCTTTGTTCAGCTCGTGAAGCTCGCGAGCTAGCTCGACTCGGTGGCTTGTTGAGCTAAACTCGTGAGCTGGCTCGTTTAGAGCTCATGATATGTCTTAACATGTGGCTAGAGAGCCAACTCGATTACCAACTTATGGACGAACCAATCTATATCTTATGATTTTAATTCATATGGTTGTTAAATTATATATATCACCATATATAAAGTTTAACACGTTGAGTATGTGATCAAATACATCTTATTTTCTACTTTAAAAAGAAATTATGCATCATAGATTGCTTCGATACTATGAAAGAACATGATTTGGAGTAGTTAAAATTTATTAACTAAATGATATATGATACCAACAAAGTATAATATGAAATTAGCTAACAAAATAAATCATATGTATCATGATATACAAAATGAAGTACCAAATAAAAGTCAAGATTTTAATAAACAAGCTAGATCGAGCTCGACTCGGCTCTTTAATAAACGAGCTGAGCTCGAACTCGACTCGTTTATTAACGAGCCGAGCTCAAACTGGGGTAAAACTCGACTCGACTCGGCTCATTTGCAACCTACTTCCATTGTGGTTAACGCCACCATATGGATCTTCTAGACTCTAGTGTAGTGTACCCAATTTCAAGAAAAAAGAGGGAATGGAGCGAAATTGAATTATTGACAGATCAATGGTTTTACTAGATTCATAAGGTGAAAATAATAAGCAGGAGATCGAATAGTAAGGATCGATGTGGTTCGTCTCCAAACAATAATAAGCAGGAGCCGATAACATTATTCTTCTTGGGTTGGGTTAGATCGGGGAGGGTCCCGGTGGGTTTCGATTCGAACCATCAATTTCATCATCTGTCAGACTGTCCCTTAATTTGGCAATAAATAGACGAAATGGACTTGCAGTCGTGTTTGTTGCTCTGTTCATCTACAGTTTTGAATAAGACAGCAGCAGCAACCTCTCACCATCAGTCACTATGCCCAGCTCGAATCTGCAGCCGGCCACACTGATGAGATCATTCGGCCCCAAGCCATTGAATTTGCATTGAAAGGTCACAACAAGACGCCATTAGTTAGAGAGATGTACGTATAAGAATCCAAGATCTTGCTAGCTTGTGCTTGTGGCGTGGGACAGACCTGAATGTTGTACGTATGCAAATATGGAGCTGCTGTTATATATGCCCAAGGAAGGAAACCCAACACGAGGCTTGTTCAACCAGCCAGTTAGAGAGTTGTCTCTCCTTGGTGTTAGACGTGCCAAGTATATATCTTCCATCTTCCTTTATCTTGTTGAGGTTGGCCATATGTGATACTCCTTCGCATGGTTGGGTACGTAGCTTCTTTTGACCTAACAGATCAACCACAATATCGATTAGGTTGATCATTTTCTTTTCCCTAAAACTATTAATGTTTAGTATGTTATAACTGTATCGAGTCTTGTAAAGGTGTAATTGATAATCCGGTCGGAGATATTGAATACTACAAAAGCAAGATGAACATAATAATGACAGTAATGAAGAAGCATGAATATGAAATCAAGCTTCAAATTTATCTATTAAAAACTTAATAATGTAAGAAAAGGGTCATCCATTCGAAGAGGAACTAAAAACTAATCCTAAACGAAATGCATTAATCCACAAGACTACGTTAGAGCAGTCTAGTTCTATGATATACATATCCCTCATATTTGGTGTAACTTATGGATAACCGGACTATCGAAGTGAAAGCAATCAAATTTATTGGGTTGGGCAATATCTAAACATACCAACATGTTTTAGATTTTTGGCAAGTGATTTGTAACAAATGTTTTAGAACATATTTGGGTAAGCTTTAGGGTTTAGAGTTTAGTTTTCCTATTTTAGGGATTTAGGGTTAGGCTTCAGGATTTTGGGTATTAGGATTCAGGGTTTAGTCTAAAGGTTTGGGTTAAGTAATTTGGATTTTAGGTTTTAGATTACAAGGGTTCAGTGTTTACGATTTAGGATTTAGGAGTTTTATGTTTTAGGTTGTTGAACGGTTTAGGATTTTGGGTATCAAGGTTTGGAATTTAGGGGGTTTGAATAAAGGATTTGATTGCTTCAGGGTTTTCAAATTAGGATTAAATGGATTCGGAGTTGAAAATTTAATGTTACATTTTGATAGATAGCCCATGGCATGAATGAGTGACCGTATTGTACATTCTTAATTTTTATAATGGAAATTTTAAATCTTAATTTTACATTCATTCTTCTCCGATTTCATCACTGTTATGTTCATACTTTCACTTCTAGAGTCCTTAATGTCTGCGTTCACGCTATCTATCAAGAGACTTGAAATCTCTATAAAACTAAAATTGATATTTCTACAGAAATATAAGCGCCATCAATCTGATGAACTACATGGTCAACCTTATGAGGAATGCGATCGACCTAATTGGTCATGCCTTTTAGAGACATCTTGAGGGCCATATAAAACCATAGGGTTTCAGAAGGCATGATTCTGCAAGTGCTTATGCTTAGGCGCGAGGCAATGTCAAATGTCACACCCCATCAATTTAGTGGTGAGTTAGGCATCTAGAACATGATAGAGAAAGGGGATTTCTAGGCACAATTAGACCGAACGCGTTAATTAATATCAAAAGAAAAAAAAAATTCATTATTTCAAAATATATCTTCTCTCTTCGAATCGACTTTTCTACAGTTAAAAAAGTAGCCCTCCTTTTTGTTGCTCCTTCTCTTCTCTAGTTATCCTCGAGGTTTTTAAGTGCAAGGGTTGACCTTGTAAGCTTCTTATGATCCACTACTTAAGATCGGAAGTCACGTGTCATCGTGAAGATCTAGTAAGAAGAAGGATGTCGAGGCTAGGTTTGTTTGGGGACCAGCAAAGTTCAAGTGTGTGGTTATTTGATGACACGTGAAATTATTTTTTTATAGACCCCCTATTGTGAGCCAAAGTGCATACATGTCCCACCATTAGTGTCCTAATACATTTAACTATTGTTGTGATTGCTTCAAGTGCATTCTAACAACCCTAGGATTGCTTGTATACGATTGATGAACTTTTGGTAGCATTTTGTGCATTTTCAGGGCAAAACAGCTCAATGGGTCACTTGGAAGCCATTGGGGACATTGAGCCCAAGTTGCTGGAGCAAGGATTCGATGAATAGACGTCAAGAAAAAATTATGCTCGGTGCGTCATTTTAGAAAATAAAAAAGGCGACCACAAAGCCATTCTGGGAGAGTGTCCACTTCGTCAGGAAGTTACCCTGGAGAATCCTGATTTGCTGGCCCATGTGTTTAGAGCGCTCTGATTAGACAAATGATGCAGAAGGGGCGAGTTTTCCACCTCAGAAAGCCTAATCAAAGATTTATAAATAGGTCTCTAAAGCAGGAGTTCAGGGGATGAGGAGACGAGAGGTCAAGGAAGGGTCATTACTCTGCCAACAAAGCAACCCTTCCGACTTAGAGCTACACCACCTACGAGGGTGAATCTACGGGGAAATTGGCGCCCCATTTGAACCCTAAGGGTTCTAACCATGTAAACTCGATGATTTGGTTAATAAGATTTTTTTATTTTCATATGTGTAATGCATGAATTCCCCTATTTCGTTATCTGTTGATTCGAATGATTGCTTAGTCGACCTTGTTATCTTTTGAGGTGCAAGGATCAAAATCCTAGTTGTTTAGGATGGTTCTAGAAATAGCAGTCCTCTTCGATCGAGCCTCATTCGATCAAACGACGTGACTCCTCAATGAAGAAATTCGAAGGGTCCTTATTGTCCATTAGTTTGGGCAAATGCTTCAACACAATGTGGGATCTAACGAAATGAGAAATTGGTAGCCCGTATCTTCGATCACCAATGGCGCGTGGTTAGGAGACCTAGGGGGAACATTGCCTATGCAAAATTTTACTTCTCTGCTCTCTCACTTCTCCAGTAGCGTAGATTTACTTTTCTACACCTGTTTCACTTAACGAACTCCTACGTTCAGTAAAACTGGAGGAACCTCAACCTCCTAAACTGACCTTTTCTTCAATATAACTATACCTCACTTTCGAAGTAAGGGTTCTGCTAGAGACTTGAGGGAATACGATCCTTGCCTTTGGACCAGGTAAATTCGGTAGTGACTGTACAATCGACATCATAAAGCAACATACTTATCAGAGGAGTTGAATCCCCTTACATTCCAGTAGAGCACATTCATTTCCTATGTTTCCTACCCTTCCTCTATCCCTTGGAGGAGATGGAGGAGCTATGGATCTACTACCAGATTTTGTCTTCTACATATATGGAAAATGAGCTTCATCAAGTAAAGGTTGCCTTTGGTTCAAGTGGGCTTGCAGCACATCAGATTGAATCCCATAACCCTTTCCATTGCCTTATGCACATCTGAGCTTATTATTCCTATTCTCTACCGACGTGAATCCCACTTCATCAACTTTACCCTTTGCTATCACACTCACAGGAGGAGTTCAGTCCTAAGCAAGCAGCTCCGGACTATTAGGCTTCTCTATAACTTCCACAATCTCTTTACCTTTATCCTCGACTGCAATCTCAACTTCAGCCAGGTTACCTACAACTTGCTCTTTTTTTCTCTATACTCTTCCAGCTTACCATCCTTACCTAAGGTAAAGAATATTCAATGTCCAAACATTCACATTGGATGTACCTTGCAGAGGTAGAGAAATTGTTGCTTACGAAAGTTACAATGATATTCTCTAGCTGTGCCTGAAATCTCTTTTAGAGAATGCTTCTTCTTTAGAAGTGTATAGTTTGCGGGGTTTTGTTAGCCTTTCTGTTGGGAACTCAGAATGTTAGAAGAAAGGAGGCACTTTTGCAGGAATTAGTGAGAAAAAGAAAAGTGTTGCTCGAAGTTACTATTAATCTGTTTCGTGTCGATGATTTTTATACTGTTGTTGTACCAATTCAATCAATGGAAATTTCTGGTTTTGGATGATTTTCCAACTCCGTAGACCTCGGCATTGTTGGAATCTTTGAACCATTTTCTAGGATCCAGACTAGTTTCTGGTTTCTCTACAAAAGATTGAAATTTGAGTAGCAAGTTGCAACCTTGTTTATCTTTGGCGTAGTTGGATCATCAACCGACGACGTCGCTAAACTGAAGTATATTGGAATGCTGGTAGTACGAAGAAAGCAAGTTTCATATATCTACTACGGTCTACCAGACAAATCAACAAAAGAGATCTTCGCCTGATACGATGCCGTTTCCGAGATGTTTAGCTTCAAACTAAACTGTCCAGACTACTTGCCGTAAAGCAAAGCACCTCCATCTGCAAAATCCAGAGTACCTTCTTCATCCGAAGCCAACTGGGGATTATGGAAGAAGGCTCAAGACGCGAAGAACCGCAAAAAGAAGAAGAAATCTGGAGTTGGGGAGCAGGTACCGACGGACAAATAGGCACTGGAAAGCTGGAGGACGAGCTCCTCCCTCAACTCCTCCATCTTCCGTCGCTTGCCGCCTCCGCCGCCGGCTCCATCTCCATGCTCGCCTGCGGCGGTGCTCACGTTGTTGCTTTGACATCTGGTCAGTATGCTTTACTACCCGCTTTTAAAGTTCACGTCCTTATAGTTCATTCCCTGGCAAGCTTTCGAGCTCCATTTTTTCGAAAGCTTGATCTTTTGGGATCATTCGTCTGAACGTCTCTTTGCTGCCAAAGGGGGAAGAGTGTTAACATGGGGAAGAGGCACATCCGGTCAACTAGGCCATGGGGAGATGGTCAATTGCTTGTATCCAAAGGCTGTCAATTCCTTGGAGGATCATGTTATAACTCACGTCTCTGCTGGATGGAGTCACTCTGGATTTGTTTCAGGTCATTTTTGGTAAAATTGCTTAAGTTTTGTGTTCGTTTCTGAACATTGCTTCTCGGTTTTCTATCTGGATTTGGGCTGGAAGTGTCTGAAATATGGTGGACTTTGCTGGTTTTCCTCAAATTGATATGGAATCCAGATGGAGGGTGCCTTTTCACTTGTGGGGATGGCTCATTTGGTCAGCTTGGCCATGGGGATTACTCTGCGTACAGCACTCCTGCTAAAGTCTCCTACTTTGTGAACAATCATGTTGAACAGATGGCTTGTGGGATGCGTCATTCGCTCGTCTTGCTGAAGGGTAGGCACGAAATTCTGTCTGCAAAGATGTTTACATCTTAGAACACCAATTTTGTGGTTCTTTTTAACCAATCAGTACACGGTCTTTTGCGGTGCAGGCAGTTTGGAGAGCCAAGTTTATGGTTTTGGCTCTGGGAAGCGTGGCCAATTGGGCATTTCAGTAGAAAAGATCAAATCAGCAAATCTTCCGCGAGTTACTGCTGGGTTTGAAGACATCCAGATCACTACCATAACCGCAAATGGTGATCATAGTGCTTCATTATCTGGTGAGCATATGCTCTGCCTCTTTGTCTTGTTTCTTAGGGTTTTGAAATTTGCCATTGATTTCCCTGAGTGTCTGATCTGATCTTCCTTCGTTTTGCATTCAGTTGATGGGAAGTTGTACACATGGGGAAGAGGGTTTAGTGGTTCTCCAGACATCAATGTTCCTAGCTGTACACTTCCATCTCTGAGTTTCAGTCAAGTTGCTCTTGGCTGGAATCATGCTTTGTTATTGACCGGTATAGTACTACAACAGCATAAGCCCACCCTGAACCTTTTGATGTGCCTCAGTGTATTTCCCAATTCCCGCATTGTGAATGAATAACTTTTTGTCAACCAGATGATGGTGAAGTATTCATGCTTGGGGGAAACCGTCATGGAGTGCTTAGCAACACAGAGAAAATGATGAACACAGCACCAAACCATCTCCCTGGCACGGAGAGGGTTCGAATACCCAATGGAGTGAAAGTCAGGCAGATTGCAGCAGGATCTGAGCATTCTGCTCTTCTTAGAGGCAACTTTCCTTCCAAGTCTAGTTCATTCACTTCGGAGCTGTTCATCCTTTCCACTTCCCTATTCCTTTGCCCGCTCACGAGTTTCATTTTTCTCGTCTTAATTACAGTGGACGGAGAAGTCATGACGTGGGGATGGGGAGAACACGGCCAGCTTGGGTTAGGGAGCACGAGTGACGAAACAGATCCATGCCTGGTCAGGATTGGAAGTAATGACAGCCGGAATGAAAAGGAAGCAGTCACCATCTCTAGAGTTTACTGTGGAAGTGGGTTCACATACGTTGTGAAGGCCGTGCATTAGCAATTATAAGCTGCAAAAATGCCTAGTTGATTATCTAACGCACTGCACATTCTTCAGAAAAAGAATCTAACAATCATTTATTTCCACGCAAGATTCTGTACTGGATTACACAACGGAAAGAACACGAGCTGAATTAAAGCTGCAACATCGTCTAGCCCCATCCTTATGGTTGGCCCACTATGGTAAAAGAATCATTAGAGAATGTTAGCCAAAGTAAAATTTCTACTATTTACATGGAAACTGGGATACCAAAAAGAATCACAGCTGCTGCTGCTGGCAATCAATCAATGAATCTCTTCTTTTCTGTTAAAGCCAAGAGGTATATTTCTGTCCACGGTTAAGTCTCTGGTGTCTTCTCAATCGACGATGAGGAGATTATTTACATACCCATAATGTTGAACATAGGGGAGCAGGGGATCAGCCTTCCATTTACCATCTACCACGAACTTGATCTGCATTGCATATGAGTTAAGATAAGAGTTGTTAAAACTTAATAGTAAAACATCCTCTCTCGTTCCACAGAGGCTCTACAGCATCACGACCCAAACAGAGTGACTGCAATGAAGGATTTACCTCGTACTTGCCGGGATACAATTTGATATACAAGGAGAATTTATTGGTGCTTGACCTCTCCATCTTTCTCTGCAGAAAACAAGTTAGCGTTTATGCACTGAAATTCTGGAAGAAGATCACTACTGGTCTAGAGAAGAACCTTGAGATAGAGAGGATCTCACCTTAGTAGCCCATCTATCAAATGTTCCGGCTAGAAACACTTCTGAGGCTTCAGTAGGCCAAACAATGTAGACATTCCTAAGAAGCTGGGTGCCTTTTTGAGCATCATCGATTTTTTTCTGTTTCTGCTCCACTAGCCTTTGTGCATCACTGGGAAAGGGGAAAAAGAAATCCATATGTAAGTCGAAGGTGCATGTGCTGAGAGGGTCAATACAGATGAGCAGACTTGACCATACAGTATTGCAAGAGCCATTCTGCCTTCCACGATAGCTTTCTGTGCCTGGATTGACCGCAACTTTTTCTGCTGACTCAGTATATAAGTTTCCTGGAATTCCCAAGCATCATAATGCTTCAGATGCTTATCATATGGCCTTTCGCTAGCCTGGTGGAGAATGAAAGATCAGATTAGATAGCAGGAGGACAAGGTTGGAGATTTAAAATGCATCCTAAAAGTACACATTATGTATTGAATGTCACTCTCTCAGAGATCGAAGTCTGATTTTCATTACACTACAATTGATACATCAAACATGTTTCTAAGAAGTCTTGTGCTTCATTGACAAGATTTTATTTCTCTTCTGCTATATGGAGCAAATCTTTTAGCAACCTTGAGAACTAAGTACTCCAAAATTATACAGCAAACAAAGAATGATTCGTACTTACCTTGCGGAACAAATTGTCACCAAAATCTGATTTTAATGTATTAAGAATAGCTGAAAGCTTTGATTCCATATGCTGAAGCCGGGTGCTTAAGGGTTCCAAACCTTCCTGAGCGGGGTCAGTCTTGTTTCTCTTAGCATCATCGCTGCAGCCATCCACATCCATCTGAGGCACATGAAGTCCTGAATCAACCTCTTCGCCAGTTGTGGTTTCTTTAGCACCACTTTCACAGGCTGTACATTGTAGGATCAATTAGTAGTCTGGTATATCTGAACCAATTACTGAATTAACTTTGAATCAGCAACAAAGAAACACCACCTTCAAAATCCTTAGCTGAAAAAGCTGCTCTCTGCTCACTCCAAATTCTCCACTTCTCCGCACCATTTCTCAACTTCACCAAATTGAGAATCTTAAGCTCGTTATTATTTATCAGTTAGGCAAAGTATGACGATAGGGTTTTCATCAGTAATGAAACAACGAGAACAGAATGAACAAGATCTAAGCTGATCGAAACACATTATCAGTAAGACATTAAATAAGTATCAAGTGAAGTGTATGTACCAAAGTTTTGGATGCTGCAGAAGGCTCATCGTATGCAGGATGATGACTGGGGACACGATTGACTTTACTTCTCTCCGGCAACTTAAATCCAAAATTTGCATTCCTTTGTACCTCCAATCTTCCCAATATACCGTCCACTCCTGAATTATCAGTTTCTCTGAATGCAAATGAACAAACATAGTGAGCAGCTACCCTGAGAACAAGAAATACAACAGCTTATATGAAAAGAATAACTAAAGATGCAAGGTCAGTTCGGCAATGGAATCCATGATCAAAAGATGCCCTTTTCCTTCGTTCTTAATTCGCCAATCTAGAGAGCATCACAATTGTGGAAACACTTCCGGAATAACAGATCAAGAAGTACAACGTCAGGGATTGGTTATACCATACGCCAGAAAGCTGATTCCTAATCCTTTATCAGCTTCCATAGTGAATTCTTGCGACAGTTGCTATGGCACGTATGTACCAAAAATTAGTGGTTCATAGAACTTTCAACTTTTCCAATTCAAGAAAGATTCTACCTACCATTCTTGTGTTCTTTTATAACAAAGCTATTCGGATATGGAAATAAACGAAGGACCCAAAAATAGAAGCCTCACAGTGATATCTCGGTCGAAGAAGCAGTAGAGTGCGAAGTATCGCGCAAGGGAGAGGCTTCACGCCCCAGCTCTGGATCACTTTCCACCTTCTTCTCGTCCGAAAGCAAAGCCCTTGATTCACTATCCGTCTTCCAGTCCAAGACTACCTCTGATTCGCTTTCACAGTCTTCGGCATCCCACCCTGAAGCCATCCAGCCGCCTTGCCTCGCAACAAGCACCACAAGATCGGTTCTTCCTGCATCAATCAACTGTTTCTTGGACGGGAACAACTCCGGGCTCTCAGAATTCTTCATAAACTCCAAAATCTCAGCTTCCAGAGCAGAATCACCTTCGCTCCCCCAATCTTTGCTACACCTCCTCACAAACACATCGCCAAATTCCCAGCAAGAATCCCTAACATTCCTCTTCCTAGCGTCAAGAAAGCCCGTGAGAGGCCCTTCCTCCTTCAGCGGCGCCGCACGATGCAGAGAAAGAACATTACTAGTAGTCTTCTCTTGCTCCCTCCCTCCACACCCGCCTCCCCCAACCACCACCGCTACTCTACTCCGACAGACTGCAAAGACTGAGGCTGGAAATGTGCGAGAACTCGGGGCGGGGAGGAGGCAACTCGGTGGCGGAGAAGAAAAGAGATGCGTCTTCACGGTTGCGGCGGAATGCATGGCTCAGGCATTTCGTCGAACAGTTTGCAGGCGAGAGAAGTGGCGCATGTTTCGATCAAATGCGCTCACAATGCCACGGGCAAGAAACAAGATACACACACTACGGGGAGAGGAAGGGGAGAGCAAGCTTTGGAATGTAGAAAGAGTAGGAAGGTCCTATCGGTAGCAAGAAGTGAATGGCAAACCAAGAGAGTCTGAAGAACAGGGGGGCTATGGCGGATGAAGGCTGAAAACGGAGGTTCTTTCTTCTAGCAGCAGAGAGAGACTTGGGAAGGCGGGCAAACGAAAGCGCAAAGACAGACAGAGCGAGAGCGTGAGAGTGAGAGGGAGATTTCGCGAAGGCCAAGCAACGAACAATTAATGTGTAGTTGTGTACTGAAAATCGAAATTTGCAGTTTATTATTTTATTGGGAAGATAGGGTATAGGGGCAAAAATAATTTATTATTTCTTTCCTGAGACCATGGGTACCGGCTCCACGTCAGAAGATTTCTCGAATGGTTTCGGGGGCTAGGATCAGGTGACTAAGGGCCCCTTAGTCACACATCTAAGTGAATCTCAGCCACTCTACCTTATTAAAATCCAAGGGCTCCTATTAGTCCAATTTAATGAAGGGTAATGTAGTAATTTCATGTTTATTTTTAATTTTTAATTATAAAAAAAATAATAAAAAATTGCTCTCTCCCCGCGCGCAGCCTCCTCGCTCGCCGCCTCCGAAAATTTAAAAGAATGGGCGCCGCCATTATTCCCATCCCCCTGGGCGCCATTATTCCCAGTAGAGAGAGAGAGATTTTGTATTGTTAGTATGCTTTGTATTGTTTGTCAGTTTATTTTGTAATGTTTGTACGCTTTGTTATTTTGTAATGTTTGTCGGGTTTTTTTTAATGTTTGTACGCTTTGTTATTTTGTAATGTTTGTCGGTTTTTTTTGTAATGTTTGTAAACTTTGTTATTTTTGTGTACCGTTTTTATCATTTTTGTCAATCATGTTTGTAATGTTTTTTATGTATAAAAAGCACCCAGGTTGACTTTGGGAAGGATCCCCTCTATATAGGGATGGAGCCTCCAAAGTCAACCCGGGTGTTTTTTCAGTTCGTATGGATTGTCGGTATAGTTTGTCATTTTTGTCCACCATGTTCGTACTGTTTGTATGTCTAAAAAACACCTGGGTTGACTTTGGGAAGGAGCCCCTCTATATAGGGATGGAGCCTCCAAAGTCAACCCGGGTGTTTTTTCAGTTCGTATGGATTGTCGGTATAGTTTGTCATTTTTGTCCACCATGTTCGTACTGTTTGTATGTCTAAAAAACACCCGGGTTGACTTTGGGAAGGAGCCCCTCTATATAGGGATGGAGCTTCCAAAGTCAACCCGGGTGTTTTTTCTTTTTGTATGGTTTGTATTGTTTGTCGGTCTAGTTTGTATTGTTTGTACAGTTCATACGTTTGTAATGTTTGTATGTTTTGTCGCTCTAGTTTGTATTGTAAATCCAGTTTGTATACTTTGTAATTTTCCATAATACCCAAACTACCCCTGTCATTAATTAAATGGCCCTTCCCACTTTTGAACCATTAGATTGAAGTGTCCAGATCTAATGGCTAGGAGGGGCTTAGTCAAGTGACTAAGGACCCCCCTTAGTCATGGAATCCGCTCTCGGTTTCGGGTGGACGGGAAGTCAGACCGGTCATGAAACCAAGAGACTGCGCTTTTATATAATCCAAACCAAACGTGCTAACATGGTGGCCCATGGTTCGGCCCATTTGAATTTGGGCTGAAATTGTTCAAGTGTCTGAAAATGATGATGGTTCAAGTGTAAGTGGGTTCGTAGGCCTCGTTTAATGGACTTTTTACTAACTAGTTTGGTGTCTCATCTATTGGGCTACTTTTTTAAATTATTTGAAATGTTTAACCATGATGATATTGAAAGTATTTTTCAATTTGTGAAATTATAATAACCCTTTATCAATGAAAGACCATTATGATTACTAGTTTTTACTAAAGTTCAAGAAAGCGCTAAGTATTAGGTGAGCGTTGGTTTTCTGAATAGTGGGTAGCCTGCTTATGTGTTATGTGTTGTCTAAGCGTTCGAAGAAGAAAAAAATGAAAAAAATAGTATAAAAAGTTTACAGATATAGATATAGATAGTTGAAACACTTGCTTTGTTTGATAGATTTGGATTTATCATTGACTTTGTACAAACTCCATTGTTTGCACATGCATTTTGTGGCAACAAATCCGTGGGCTCCATGGATTTTAAGGGTCCAAATTTGTGGGTTCCACGGATTTGAAAATTCCACCTCTATAGGTGGGACTTGATCATGGACTTTAAAGTCTATAATTTATTACCAAACTGTTCATCATTTTATCTTTCTCATCTCATACCAATAAGGGCAATATATGTCATTTTCACTTCATGCATGCGTATCTAATTAACCAAATCTATCATAAAATAAACGAAACAAAGAATGGTATTTTCTAAGTCCATAATGAACCCAAAACCTTCATATATTTATGGTTTTACAAAACCCAAATTTTATCAAAATCTTCATTTTTCAAATACATGAAGCAAACGAATGAAGAGTAAAATGCTCTGCACAATGAACGAACTCAGATTTTGTCATTTCTTGCCCAAAAAGAAGATGAACTTCTCCAACCTAGAATTGAGAATTAGTGTTGCTGCTAGCCTATAACTTGCATTAAATTAAAGAAATTACAGCGACAAAAGGAGGTTGTGATCTCAGCTTGAAATGCTGGAGGAACCAGAGGAAAGCCTACTCTCCAAAACTAGCTCCCGAGATGGTGTTCCCTCCAAAACTAGCTCCCTGATAATAAAAACATGGGCTTAATTGCAAGTTTGGTCACTCAAATTGCTATAAAATTTCACGTTTGCCACTCGAATTAATTTATTCTATTTATAGTCACTCGAATTAGTTGAACAGTCCAAGTTCGGTCACTCTCCGTTAACCTCCGTTAGACTCCGTTAATGACGACCGTTAAGTGATGATGTGGCTAACAGAAAATCACAGTCAGCATAATTTAACACTAAAAAACGACGACCCGACCCGCCACGTCATATTTACCCGCCATGTCCGCCCTTCTAGCCCAACCCGCGAACCAACCCAATTAATTGACCCAAACCCAAACCCGAGACCCAACCCCCCTGAAAAATAAATTAGACCCAACCTCCGCCAAGCCCAGCCGCAGCGGCAGCGCTCTCCCGACCGCCCCGCGCTCAACATTCCCATTGCCTGGACCGCCCTCGGCTCCACCAGATCCGCCTCCACACCCACCTTCCTGCACCAATTCGCGAAAACGGCCCTGATCTTCCCCTAGTCAGAGAAAGGGGGAGCGAGAACGAACGGACGGGACAGAAGGGGATAATACGCAGGCATTCAATTGAAGAAACATCCATCTTAGTTGCTTCAATCCAGTTGCAGCAGCAACGATTTGATTGAAGCATCCCATTGAATTTCCGCCGTCGTTGAGAAGAGTTATGTGCAGGGATTCTGTCTAACTCTTCTTTACTCCGCCAGTATTGAATGATCTAGACCCTAAGCGCCCCCTTTGAAGGAGGATTGAGAGAGACAGCGAAAGAGATTGAGTTACCAGGGCGGATTATGAACGGTATGGGACGACAGGGATAGAGATTTGGAGCAGGAATGACGGCCACTGTACACCATCAGATACAGTACTCCGATAACTTTGTGGACACCTCATCCAATGGTCGATGGCTTCAATCTGTTGTCTTCAGCACCTTCAAAACTACTCTTCCAATGGGGCTTCTTCTATTCCTCCTCTTCAGGTTTCCAGATCTCTCTCTCTCTCATCTCTCCATGTCAGTTTCTTTCCCCTCTTTTCGGCGCCGCGTTGTTGCTCCTCAATCTCTGCTGCTGGTCTACCGTCTCACAGTGGAGGTCCCCGATTCGGAGGGATTGGAAGACGAGCAGCAGGAGATCGAGTCCATCTCATGCTCCGAAGAAACACTCTCCACCTCCGACGAGGAGTAGGAGGCGCAGGCGGTGGAGTGAGGAAGGGATCTGGGTCCGAAAACAGAGTTCTGGGTGAGGCAGCGGCAGTTCCTGCAGAGCAAGAGGCGGAGGTGGTGGGAGACAAGGAAGTTGGCGTTGTGAACTCTGGCGTCGCAATGGAAGCAGAGGAAAGCATCGTCGAAGTTGCAGTAAATGTCCGGCGCTCCTACCCTTTCCGTTTCGATTTATTTTTCAGGGGGGTTGGGTCTCGGGTTTGGGTATGGGTCAATTAATTGGGTTGGTTCGCGGGTTGGGCAAAAAGGGCTAACATGGCAGGTAAATATGATGTGCGGGTCGGGTCATCTTTTTTTAGTGTTAAATTATGTTGACTGTGATTTTCTGTTAGCCACATCATCACTTAACGGTCGTCATTAACGGAGTCTAACGGAGGTTAACGGAGAGTGACTGAACTTGGACTGTTCAACTAATTCGAGTGACTATAAATGAAATAAATTCATTCGAGTTGCAAACGTGAAATTTTATAGCAATTCGAGTGACCAAACTTGCAATTAAGCCTAAAAAAATGGAAACAGAACCTGGCATTGAAGTTCAGTAGCAACAAACATGTCCCTAGAAATTGCGTGTAATAATTTTGGAATTGGGACAAGGGACGGGATACGGTGACAACCCCTAAGGGGGTTGTCAGATTGACAACCAAGTGTATTTTGGGTATGAAAAAAAGGAATATATTAATTACCTTTTTTGTATTGATTATATTGTGAATTAAATACAATATTAAATATTAAATACAATTTTTAAATACAATATTAAAAATCCATATTAAATACAATTTTTAAAAAAAATTTAAATCCTATACATTAATATCTCTATCTATCTCTCTCTCTTCCTTTCTCCAGCGGCCACTCCGCATCGACGGACAGACTTTTTCTCCGATGAATTCTCTCTGGCAGACTCCCTCCGACAAACTGAAAAAATGTACCAGTGCGTTAAAAAGTTTATCAATCCATTAGTCTACTGGTAATTAATATACCAGTACTAGTGGTACGCTACCAGTGCGTTAAAAATGTACCCGTGCTAGTGGTACGCTACTAGTACAACGCTACCACTACCATATTGTATCGTAGTGCTAGTGGTACGCTACCAATGCTAATGATGGCGTACCACTAGCATTGATAGCGATACAAGTAGAGAATAACTCAAAAAACAGATGGTAGTGGTATTAGATGAAAGTGGGACGCTACCACTACCAACTACCTGATGGTAGTGGTAGGTACCACTATCACTGGTACGCTACCAGAAGAAAAATGGTACCACTAAAAAACCAGATCTAGAAAAGGGGAGTCGATGACGGGAGAGAGAGGTAGGGGAAGAGGGTGACCTCGCAACGGCGGCAGTGGTGGGAGACGAAGGGCGGCGAGAGGGCTCCGACGGGGAGAGGATGATTGCGTCGTGGTGGTCGGAGGGGACGTTGCGACGACATGGGGTGGAGGGAAACTGAGGTATGCGGAGACGACGGTGGTAGAGGGATGCTGCGGGAGACAGGGGTGGCGGCGCCGGCGGTGGAGGGCTGCTGCGATGGAGGACGCGGCAGCGGTGGAGGGTTGCGTCGGTGGAGGATGGCTGCGTGAGAGAGGGAGGAGGGGGAGAGGGGGTGGGAGGAGTTAGGGTTTTGTTTTTAATTTATATGAGAGAGTAAATGATTGTGTGTGGTAAATCTTTTTCATTCCAAAAATACCCTTCGTTTAATCTTAACCATCAATTTGAAAAAAAAAAGACAGGAAAGAGGGCGTATCCAATGGTGATGAGGTGGATTGTCAAACTCACAACATTAAGGGATTGTCACCGTATCCCATCCCTTGTGACAATTCAAAAAATTGGAATTAAAACTCTGAAAATTTGCAGGAAGTGAATGACTTGGGAATTTGGTAACTCTAGGATAAACTCAACCAAGACAACGTCTTTTACTTATGCGTTCAACCTTTTCACTCGCTTGCTTTGCTTTTCGTTTAAGTTAAAAGGAATTGCGAAATCAAGTGAAATTTTATCAACAAACCCTGAACACTGACATTAGCTGTTGTGGTTGAGAAAATAGAGAGGAGTAAATTAATCAATCGACTAAATTATCTCTAATCAACTGTTTTGTAAGTATCGTAACACATGAAAAACGTTATTCCTGGCAAGAAGCATGAGGCAAAAGACTAAATTGTTGATAAAAATAATTTAAGGAGTTGGGCTAGTGATATATTCGCCCACGCTGATTCGAAGCTGGGAACAACAACCAATGAAAAAAGTCATTATTATTCTAATGCTGGCCAATGAGATATATAGATTATAGCATGCACGGCCGAATCTTTATATAGAGTCCAGTCAATCGGGTTTAGAGCCAGAGACAAGTAGCTAAAGATAAACTATGGAATCACCGGCTAGGGTTAAAAAGCATAAACAGCTAACATCTAACCAATAGCTTGGGAGGAAGAAGAAGAAGTAACCACAGTTCTACAACTACAAAGATAAAAACTTATTATTATTAATTATTATCCCTCCGGATCGAACCGTCGTTATCGCCATAGCCCAAATGCCCAAATGAGAACGCAGGACTCCTCGACTCTGGTCTTTCCGAGGAAGTAATCCACCCTATAACTACAGCTATCAATTATCATCTCCTTCACCACCATCCCATGCAGAGAAAAGTTAGCAAGTAATCAACCAAGTAAATCACAAAAGAGCAAAAGAGAGATAACAGATCACAGAGATATAGAGAACACGATGACGAAGACGACGTTGCTCCTGTCGGCAGCATTGATGTTGTTCTGCTTTCTCGGGTTCTCTGTCGCTGCCGATGCCGCCAAGAGCGTGGAGTACAAATCGCGGAACTGCAGCGCGGAGAGGTACCGGCCGGGGGACCAACGGAAGCATTCGATTTCGGTGGTGCTGACGCAGCTGGTGTCGGAGGCCGTGGACAGGATCACGTTCAACAACAAGGACTACCGAGCCGATTACCCGCCGCAGAAGCCCATTGTCTACGGCCACGCGCACTGTCTGTGGACGTTCGGGATCAAATCGACGTGCCGGAGCTGCGTCAGGGCGGCCAAGAAGCTGCTTCTCCATGGCTGTCCGCATAAAGTCGGGGCTTCCATCGAGTTGGAGGATTGCTCGCTAAGATACGAGAACCATTTCATTTAGATTGGCTAGATAGCTATACCATTACCATACACTCACATCGATGGACTTGCTTTTAATCTCGCGTTTTTTGTTTGTTTGTTTGTTTCTTCGTTTTATAGTTTATGCCTGTCACTGTCTAAGAAAATTAACTGTATGAGATCATTTCTTATACGTGTTTCAAAGACTTATATCAATGAAATAAAGCTTGTTCTTTCCTTTTAGTTGGCATACTATTAATTTTAGATTTTAGGCTCATGCCTTATAGTTATATAGGTTAAGCTCCTTGAAAATCAATTCTGTCGACACTACCTTGTTCATGAAAAAATAATAAAAATTCATCCTCCGATCTTCTTCCCGTCCATACTACGTCGATGTCATAGTTTTTGGAGCCCAAAATCAAAGAGTTTTGTGTCATTATGCAAATTGCCTTTGTGAAAGCTTGGTAAAGGATAAGGTTGGGATGAAACATGCAAGGGTTTACTGAAGAAGAAAAGGTAAAGTTGTACAAGTAATTACTGTTTAACGGTAACTAAAACAGAAAATCAAACTAACTACAAATGGAGAAACGACAAGCTAGCTATCTACAGTATAATTGAAAGAGGTAGTTGCTTTTTTTTTTATTCTTCTTATGTTCTAGTAAAAGTGCAGTACAATACTTGCATTGACAGATATGCAAACCCCCCGTGATCTAGCAATCTCTAAACCAAGGAAGTAATGAAGATTGCCTAGATCACGAATTTTAAACTGGGATTGCAAGAAGGCCTTAAAAGTTGTCATGCCTTGATCATCATCTCCAGCAATGATTATATCATCGACATAGACCAATGAGACAGAAGTTACCTGATCTCCATGATGAATGAAAAGGGAATGATCACTTTGGGATTGAACATACCCAAAACTGAGTAAGGCTGAAGTCAACTTAGAGAACCATTGACGAGAAGCTTGTTTTAAGCCATAAAGGGACTTCTTAAGACGACAAACATAACCATCTTGTGAGAGTCCTAGAGGTAAATCCATATACACTTCTTCATCCAAATCCCCATGAAAAAATGCATTACTAACATCCAACTGGTTCATAGACCAATTCTTAGCAACTACAATGGCTAAAAAGGTCTTGACAGAATTCAACTTGGCAGCAGGGAAATAAGTATCCAGAAAATCAACTCCATAAATTTGGGTGAAGCCTTTGGCAACAAGTCTAGCTTTATACCTTTCAACTGTTCCATCAGAATTATACTTGATAGTGAACACCCAATATATGCAACCAATATGTCTTTTCCCAGTGGGACAGTGAATCAAATCCCAGGTTCCATTAGCTACAAGAGCTCTGATCTCTCCTCATTCATGGCATTTCTCCACCTCTCATCTTGCATAGCCTCCTCAAAGGTTTTAGGCAACAAAGTAGTATCCACAACACAAACATACTTCCAATATTTCAGAGATAAATTATTAAAGGAAATGCAAGCAATCAATGGATATGAATGTTTGTCAATGTTGGTGTTGACATTCAGGACATAATCCTGATATCTGACAGGTGGTCCTGTGTGTCTAGGTTGTTTTCGCAAAGCAATAGGAAGTGAGGGAGAAGAAGAAGGGAAATTAGTTTGTGGTGGACTGTGATCAGTAGAGGTGGTAGGAGTATCAATTTGAGGAGATGAAAAAAGAGGACAACCATACACCTTTAGGTTGGATAAGTTAGGAGGAGAACCATACAATTGTTCACAGGGTGTTCTATTTTGTAAAACTGCTGTAGGTAATCTGTTTATCAAGTAGACTGCATGGAGAACAAAGTCTGACCAGAATTTAAGAGGTAAGCCAGATTGAAATTTAGGATCTCTAGCAACATTTAAAATATGTTGGTGTTTTCTTTCTACTCTAGAGTTCTGTTGTGGAGTAGCAACACATGACACTTGATGGATAATGCCATATTGATAGTAGAAATCAGGGATATGAAACTCAGTCCCTTGGTCTAATATGATGAATTTGATGTGTTGGTTGTATTGAGTGCTAACTAGAACACATAAGTTTTGCAACAACTGTCTAGCCTCAGTTTTATGCTTCATGAGATAAATCCAAACACATCTAGATCTATCATCAACTAGGGTAAGAAAATATCGATATCCATTGTAACTGGCAGTGGCCAAAGGCCCCCAAATATCAACATGAATGAGTTCAAAATTGCTCTTTGCCACAGTCTGGCTTGAAGAAAATGGTAAGTGTTTCTGTTTGGAAAGGTGACAAACATCACAATGAGAAAAAGATCTTATAGAAATGTCTGGTATAGTCTTCTTTAGTTCTTTGGCTCGAAAAATGGAAGGATGACCAAGCCTCCAATGCCATAGATCAAAGGATTGGGGTGTTAAGTTTTGAGTCTTGATGGAATTAACAAGGGTGGTAGTGTCTTCTGGATGTATGGTACGTCGATAGAGTCCTCTAGTCTCTTGGGAAAAACCAATCCTCCTCTTGATTTGAAGGTCCTGAATGTGACAAATGTTGGACTCAAAGGTAAGAAAGATTGGCATGGACTTAGTGGGCTTACTAACTGAGACTAGGTTGAATTAAAAGGCTGGAACTAACAAAACATCATGAATGACCAATTCAGATGTAAGCCTGACACTACCACAATGTGTAGCTGGAGTTTTAGATCCATTGGGCAAGGTTATAAGAATACCTTGAACAGGTTCATACTTTAAGAAGTTGGAAACAGAACAGGTGACATGATTAGTGGCACCCGTGTCAAGGAACCGAACACTAGGTGTTTAAAGTGAATTTACCTGAAAAGTTAGGATTCACAGATAGTTGTCTACTCAGTAAGTTGACAATAGGAGTTTGTTGCTGATTCACTGAAGCCAGGTTTAATCCTCCAGGAGCAATAGGTGAAGTTGGAGATGCTGGAAGACTATAATGATTAAGCAGCCTCTGTAGTCGACTCAGATCATCAATAGAGAGCCTGATATTTGTATACCCATTATTGCCTTCAGGTACACTCTTAGTTTCAGGCTTAGGTAGAATACCAGCTCCTGCAAAATCCTGTCATTGAATTTGTCCTGCAAACCCAGAAGTTCCCCTGACTCTTTGTTCTTCCTTTTCTGAACTTTTGATTGTTGATTATATAAACGTTAACATCTTGTGTTATTGACATACCATAATATCAAGTACTTTTAGTAAATTACATATGTTTTCTCCACGCGGGGGACATATATATTCTCTACGAACTAACACATATGAGATACCGAAACCCACACCCAATATATATAAAAAAGTACAACAAATTAAACCCTGCCCACTTCACCTAATCAACTGATCAACTCGCCACTTTAACCGAATTCATCTCCACATCATCAATCTCCGCCAACTTCCCATCGTCCACCGCCACCTCGCCGATCTTCATCTTGGTCTTGTACCGATACCCACTCGCAAGGTAAAGAAAGTAGAAGCAGTTCACGAACCCCATCCCTGCCAACAGAAAGTAGAACAGATCCAACCTCCCTTCATTCAAATCATTCGCCAACCAATCCGCCCGCCTCCGGCCGCCGCCGCCGCCGGTCGCCTTCCTCACCACCGCGATCAGCACGCTGCTGAAATAGCTCGCCGTGGCGAACGACACCGAGAAGAGCGAGTTGGCGATGCTCCTCATGTGCTCGGGGAACTCCTTGTTGTAGAACTCGATCTGCCCCAGGAAGTTGAACGCCTCGCACATCCCCATCAGCGCCAGCTGCGGCGCCAGCCACATCACCGACATCGCCGGCGCGTCCGGGTGCGCGTGGACGAATTCCCGCCTGTCCCTCTCGACAATCCCCGCCGCCACCATGGACAGGACGGAGAACACCATCCCGATCCCGATGCGCTGGAGGAGCGTGATCCCACCCTCGATCTTCGTGATCCTGGTCATGGCCGGGACGAGGACGCGGTCGTAGAGTGGGAGCCACGCGCCGATGACGAGGAGGGAGATGACGAACATCGAGCCGGGCGGGATCTGGAACTTGGGGCCCAGGTGGCGGTCCATGATTTGTGCCTGGGAGACGGTGAAGGTGCCCTGTTGGGAGATCGCCGTCAGGCTTATGATTCCGGCCGACCATACGGGGATGATTTTGAGCAGGCATTTGACTTCTTCCACTTCTTGGATGCTGACTAGGCTCCACGGGTCCGATGGCTGGCCTTGCTGGTTCAGCTCCACGTGTTCTTGCTCTATGATTGCCGCCTTGTTTAGGAAGCTGGAGGGAGAAAATTAGATTTGATTGATTAATTAACAAAGCTTCAAGAAAACTAATCCGTTCAACGTTTCTCACGTGTCAAAGTTATGATTATAGTAAAGAACATTGTTGGTTGCTTGCCACCAACACCTAATTCACATAATTCTGTATTACGTTAATTTTTTTATTATTCACGTCATATTGGTATTTATTTACGTAAAAACATTGGTTATTCACGCAAATGATAATGTTTATGCATGTAGCATGGTATTGATTCACATATGCTGTAATTTATTCACATCTATCATTCTAAAATTTATTTTTGAAATTTTGAAATATATCAAAATATATTACAGTAAATGCAACTCATTTTTTATGAAAAAATTGAAAATGCAAATTGAGGTTTAATTTGGGATAAAAAATATTTCGTGAATAAGCACCAAATTGCATGGATATCTATAAAACGGCTTTAAGTTAAGTGTTATGAGTACTCTAATTCTCTAAATATGGACAAGTCAACAACCCTTTTTCCTCTAGTAAATAACCTTTTGGAAGAAAAATGAGAAAGAAAAAACCTCACCTGAACTGATTGGTGAGGGGGAGCTTGTGTATGACGAAGTCCTTAGCCGGCGGGTCATAGAACCGTGCACCTTCGTCGCCCGCGGCCGCGGCGTCGGGAAGCTTAAGGTTGCGCTTCTTGTATGCGGCGGAGCAGACGTGTGCGATCCCGGAGAAGACGCTGCCTTCGGGCATCACGTGGACGTAGATCCTGGTCCCCATGAAGAACAAGAAAATTGAGCCGAACATGAACGCCGTCGGGATCCCGAAGCCGAGCGCCCAGCTGATCGAATCCTGGATGTAGACGATGACGGTGAGCGCCAGGAGGATGACGACGGTGAAGGTTGTATAGTACCAGTTGAAGAAGCTGTTGATCCCTTTGACCCCGGCTTCGGTCCGACCGTCGAACTGGTCCACCCCGAACGGTATGCTGCAGGGTCGGATCCCGCCCGCCCCGACGGACAGCAGGCACAGCCCCGCCAGCAGGACGCCCATCTGGCTCGAGGTGGGACCCGCGCAGGATGACGTGGAGGATGGGGAGACGGCGTCGCATTTGGCTGGGCGGAGGTGCGGCAGCCACGCTGTCAGTGTGATTGTTACCATCCCCTGGTGAGATTAAAAAAAAAGGGCAAGGAAAGAGAGTTGTTAGTGACATGTTTCATCTCGTCGCTAATAATTGGAGTTTTTGGTGAATGGTCAATCGTGATCGTGACTAATAAATTGTATTTACCTGTGAATTGTAGGGATGGCAATTATAGCCGTAATCGTGGTATCCGGCTCTATCCAACCCGGTCAACGAGGGGAATCCCCGCATTGACTGGGTATGGGGCTGGTACAGGTAATACTCGCAAAGAATCTTGTGGGGATGGGGCGGGGATGGATTTGAGTGCCCCGCCCCATACCCAGTTCCGCCCCGCCCCCGTTATTACTTATGTCTTATAATTGTAAAATATAACTACGTTGTAATTTACCAAAAGGACTTAAGGGTTATTGTAAAACAAAATAAGGACTAAAAGATTAATTTCACTTAGTTAAACCAATCCTAATTTCTTAACAGGCTAACACGTTTCTAACTCTACTTGGGAGGATAACTTGACTTTTATGTGTGGATTTTTATTGTTTAATAGGTGTTTTGGAGATGAATAATTTGGTGTTGGATTAGTTACTGGTACTTTGTTTAAGGAACTTAGTAGGAATTGGATGATCTAATTAAGATTTTCAGTGATTTTTTATTAGGTTCATCATTGATTAGGTTTGATGTTTCAACCCAATAGTTATATGTTCTGTTGAATTCAAGTGTGTTAATTTAGTTATAATCATAATAAGATGTACGGGGCAGGGATTACCCTCGGGTATCCGAAACCCGCGGGGATGGGGATGCAAAATCATTCCCCGTATGGGGATGGGGAGGGTATGGATTTGATAATTGAAAATGGGTACGGGGATGGGTTTAGTACAATCCGCCCCAAACCCGACCCGTTGCCATCCCTAGTGAATTGTGATATTTTCACTTATTACAAATTAATTAATGATCTCCAATGATTAATAATAACAGTAAGAAGAAAGTACAGACCAATAACTGGGGAAATGTTACAGGTTTGATGGTTTTTGTCTGGGAATGGAAGTGGTGGGGGAGGCATTGATGAATTTACACAGAGCTATAGCTAAGGCTGTCGACATTTGATTTCCAGAAAGTATTCATCGTTTTCCAGCTATTAAACACAATTGGTTGGTTGGCTGGCTATCTACCATCCAAACCGTAAGTGGCTCTGTGGACAGCTGATTGAAAGAGTACAAGAGTGAGAGCTTTTTTCGTCTTCTTATGTGAAAACAATGTTAGATATTTTAAGAAAGGGATCATTCAACGAAACAAAATTGAAATAGACTACCAATTCATCCCAGTGGAACTTGGCCGGGGATTCTCCAATTCATCTTATATACCGAGGAATAATCCATCGATATGATTTTTGGGACGCTCCACAAATAAAATAATGGTGATAGTGTGTGTGGTTCATATTTTAAGTATTTTTTTATATAAAAATTACGCTATATCAAGAACTGAACTAAATAAACGCGCGTTGTTGACATATATTATATCATATAAGGTTATGACGTATTACATACTACATTTTCGATCATTATTAATATGAAAGTGACTGCTATTTTAAAAATCGTGATTTGAGAATGATATATACAGAAAGTAAGAATAATTTTGAGTTAGCGTATGTTAATTAGGAATGATAAATAATAGTAAATACTTTTTTGCGGAAAAACAAGAGCATCGGCGATGTTTTTGGATGATTTCCCGAGTAAGGAAGTTAATTCCCCTAAAGATCAAAGGACGGCAACCATGCACGTTCCTATTTTCCTCCCCTTTCTTCCCATTTGCACACAACTTGTTTAATTGGCCCCAAAAAAGATCACTTCCTTACCTCATTTGACTAATCTCCACCGGCGTTTCAGTTCGCGAACTATATGTGCATAACAAGTAATTAGGTATTTGATTAGCCATGTGAGCTAGCTAGCTAGCTAGGTACTAATAAACGCAGATGCACCACCACAAGTCCACAAATTGTTAGTCTGCCCGTAGGGGGTGTCAATTTGGGTTCGGTACCGACCTGATTATATACATTTTCAATTTTTTGGGCTCGGGTTCGTTTCGGGTTTTGGGTTTTTCGGTTTCGGGTTCGGTTTTGCTTATCGGTTTTTCGGGTTTCGGCTAAAAACCTCCAATGAATAGAACTCAGCCCGTATTTTTAGGCGTTCGGGTTTTCGGGTTTCGGTTTTACTTTAACCGAACCCGAACCCGATAAGGAATTTTCGGGTTTCGAGTAACCGGAACTCGCAAGTCGTTATCGGGTTCAGGTTCGGTTTAGTGATTTCGGTTTCGGTTTTTCTGATTTTTCGGGTTTCGGTTTGGGTAACCGAACCCGACCCGAACTGACACTCCTATCTGCCCGTGTTTAGGTTTGATCATCCATCCCCACACGGCATTACTGCTCACCGGCTCAAAAAAAAAAAAAATTTTGAAATGTCATCCATTGTCATACGAAAAAATCGAACCTCTCACACGTACCAGAAGTTCGGCGAAGACGGAGAAAGCAATGGTTTTGAAGCGGCCGACGTAGGCGTCGCAGACGAAAGCGCCGATGAGCGGCAGGAAGTTAGTGAAGCCGGACCAGACGTTGAGGAGCTGTGCAGCTTTGGCCTGCTCCATGTGATACTCTTTCGTCAGATACACCATGAAGTTTGCGAACAGTCCAAACGTCGCCAACCTCTCGCACGTCTCATTTCCTGATAAACTCCAAAAAAAAAAAAAAAAAAAAGAGATGGTTGATGACATATGCAATCAGATCTCCATGGAAAAAAAAAATCACTTTCCCGGAATCAAGGTGACGAGCGCTTAGCTCAATTCCCAACTTCTTCAACGGAAAAAAAAAAAAATTTTGGACGAGGGACCATTTTCACGAGAATTGTTAGAGACAATTGGGTAACGAATAATATGAATGTATATTGTCAATGGAACGTATTGTTACCTAAAACGTAAGGCATGGCTCTCCATCCACCGGGCTGTTTCTTAGTCGATTTTTCCGGCAGCTTAGGAGTCCCCGCCGCCGGCGGAGCAATCATCAAGCTGTTGTTACTGTTATTGGCCGTCGACGGCGGGCTCCCATCCTGCTGCTGCTGCTTCTCCGACTGTGGGGTTGGACAGTACGATGAGTGAGGGGGATCTTTGACCGCCATTTTTGTGTTTGTTACCTCCGCCGTTAATCTCAAATGATCTGTAGGACTTCTGGATACTAGGGATTAAATATTCCTCTCGTTGGTCATCTTCGACGGCGAGCCTCAGCCACATTGGTAACTGTGTATATATATAGACAGAGTGAAGGGGAGATAGGGATGAGGGTCAGAATGGGGATTTCAATACTGCAGAGTGATGCCAAACGTATATTGTATGTATACGGGCTAATAATAAAAATGAGAAATTGTATTATAAGGACGGTCCAAGGAAAGAGAGAGGGGAGTGGGATAGATGAAGGGGGAGTAGAGGTGGGATCATTTCGAATCTAATATAATCCGAACTACACGAGTCGCTTTTTGGATCGAGTTCAAGTTATGTGAAACTCGATGTCTTCATGCTTTACTACGTTTAAGTAAGACAAGTAGTGCACTCTGGTTAAACAACATAGTTCAAGGTCGTATTCATCAAGTATCTTTAGCTAAATTGTTACTCTCTGCGCTTCGAAATACTGTTTAATCAATATTCAAAGATGTAATTCTTCTGAAAATTTAAGTAGCAACTGCTAAATTACTGTTTGTACCGACTTGCTCCGTATCGAACAATGATATTTGTGGGTGTGGGTTGACTCATCGTCCGTTCGTCCGATTTCGTCGGGAGGGAGAGAACCTGTGAAAGAGCCGGGGTTGCCCCCCGGATTAAGCTCCGACGATCAAGTTAGTGTCGGTTTGTGAAGAGAGTTGAGAGAATAAGGTAGAGAGATAAAGTGTAGAGAGATATTGGAAAGTGGAAAGTGAGGAGAGAGAGAAAAGTCCCCTTTTCTTTGGAGGGCTTCAAGCCCTTATATACCTGTAGCTGGTATCGAGCGTTGGGCATCGCCGATTATGCGCCCTACTACTTAGTCTGTGCGCGGAGTATCTTAGTAACACCCCCAACAATTGCCCCCCAAGCTGGTGGTGAGTTTTAACTCATCACTAGCTTATATTTTATTTTTTAAATCTTCGTCAGTAATTTTGAGTGGGGCCCTATGTACCCCAGTTGCCCCCCAGCTGGTGGCGCGTTTGACCGACGCGGTGCCAGCTTCTTGCGTCTTGCCCCCCAGCAGCGCCATTAACGCTCATGGAAGTAAAATATTTCAAATTTAATAATGATAGAGTACTTAGCTTTATATTGGTACCGTGGCGGCAGAAGTAGTTGAAAATCAGACGCTGCGCCATTGAATCACCAAGCGCGCATGTAGCCTACTAGTCAGTATGCTTGTCCAACGGAAAATTGCCCCCCAGCTGGTGTATTTCATTAAGGCGTGTAGCCTTCACCCATTGTAGATTCTTCATGGAGCTCTTCTTGTCGGGGTGTTTTTTAATCCTCATTTTGGAGTTCTCCTCGTTGGGGTTTTTAACCCTCAGTTTGGAGTTCTCCTCGTCGGGGTTAAAAACCCTCGGTTTGGAGTTCTCCTCGTCGGGGTTTTTAGCCCTCAGTTTGGAGCTCTCCTCGTCGGGGTTTTTAACCCTCAGTTTGGAGTTCTCCTCGTTGGGGTTAAAAACCCTCAGTTTTGAGCTCTCCTCGTCGGGGTTTTTAACCCTCAGTTTGGAGTTCTCCTCGTCGGGGTTAAAAACCCTCAGTTTGGAGCTCTCCTCGTCGGGGTTTTTAACCCTCAGTTTGGAGTTCTCCTCGTCGGGGTTAAAAACCCTCAGTTTGGAGTTCTCCTCGTCGGGGTTTTTAGCCCTTAGTTTGGAGCTCTCCTCGTCGGGGTTTTTAACCCTCAGTTTGGAGTTCTCCTCGTCGGGGTTAAAAACCCTCAGTTTGGAGCTCTCCTCGTCGGGGTTTTTAACCCTCAGTTTGGAGTTCTCGATGCTCTTATTGAAGTCTTATTTGTGTGCTTCGTTGAGACTTATTTGTAGCTTCACCGAGGCGTTGTGCGCTCTCCCACGTTGTTAAGCACGTCTTGCTCCCATTAGCGCCATTAATGCTCCTTAGAGTAAAATATTTCAATATTTGAAATGATAGATGGATAAAGTACTTAGCTTTGTGTTGGCGAAACAGCGGGGAGAGAGTTAAATAAGAGTGCTGCGCCAAAAAATCACAACGCGCATATGTAGTCTGTTGATGATATGGCTTGTCTGGCGGAGGAGTGAACGCGGGTTCAATTCCTCTCGGCAGCAACATTTTCGTTTTGGTGGTCTCAGCGCCTGTTTGTAGGCTTTGCGGACCATGATCCGCGGGCCTGTTGTCGATCCGTGAGTTGTGGATTGCCCATCTTTGGTGAGTGGGCCGCGAGTTGGAGAAGCAGCGCGAGCAAAAAGGTAAAATAAACCTTCCGCGCTCATTTGACAACAATTGTCACGTAGTCCACTGGTTCCGTTTGCTTGCACGCGAATGGTCGAACAGCGGTTCGACTCCTGTCTACCACGCATGATTTTTGGGGTGCCTCGCGCTCGACGGCATCACTGAGCGGGCCGGGTGACGCGAGCTGAAGGGTAGAGCGGGCCGCGAGTGCACTGAGCAGGCCGGGCGACGCGAGCTGAAGGGTAGAGCGGGCCGCGAGTGGGTATTGAGGCGGAAGGTGGGCCAGAAACGCGAGCTGAAGGGTAGAGCGGGCCGCGAGTGGGCTTGAGGTGGAAGGTGGGCCGGGTGACGCGAGCTGAAGGGTAGAGCGGGCCGCGAGTGGGCTTGAGGCGGATCCGCGAGTCGGGTAGCAGGGTTGGAGTTAAGGCTGGCCGCGATATGGTGATGCGGAGGTGCATGAACAGGCCCGCGAGTGGTGGTGGGCCCATTTGGCGCGGGCGCGGGCCGACGGATCCGTAGGCCGGATGGAGATAAGTGTCGCGCGGCCGCCAACTCCTTCACTTTTTCTTTTTGTTTCCTCCTCTTCCCAAACTGCTTCCGTCTTCCTGGTGCTTCAATTAAATGTCATGGCGTCCATGACTTCAGCGGGAACGTTGGGGTGAAGTTTCCAAGTTTATTTCTTCTTCCCGCTCGCTGGCTTGGGCGCAGCTACATCGTGGAAGGCGCGTTTCGGGACGACAAGACGCTGCCTCGATAAACCCGTTGTTTGCCTCAAGAACTCCACCTGTCTTTTCCTTCTGACAAGCAGAGAGCAACGCCATCTTTTGGGGAACCAGTTGGATGTGACAACTCCTTGCGACCACAGCTTATTCTCTTTCTCCGATGGTCGGAATTTGGGAAGATGGTGGGTGGTGTGGCGTTTGTGGAAACTTCTTCGGCGGAGATGGGTTGGCTCGCCGGAATCTGGGCTGCTGTTACTCTTTTTTTTTTTTTTTTGAAATCAGACTCTTTGGTGCAAAGTTTGATTACTATTTCCGAGCTTCCCTTTTCCAGTTGGTAGCCTTTCTCGGAGACGACTTCTGGCGGTGGGTAAAGGAGTTGGTGAAGGCGGCGAGAATGGATTTTTGGATTGGTTCGCTGCCGTCGACGAAAACTTTCTTGCTTTGACCTTCCGGCGGAACTGTGTTGATGCTGCTTTGGAGGGTGGTAAACGCTTTAAGCTTTTGTGAAGATCCAAATGATCTTCTCTTTATTGTCGAGCTCCTCTCCCCTTTCTTTTACTCGGCTGGCCCTCAAAGAATTTGGCAGCTGCTGTGGCGCTTAGTTGGTGGAGAAGATTTCGAGCTCTTCCCAAAAACAATCAGATATGGATTTTTTTTTTCTTGCAGCTACCGTCGAATGGTGTTAAGAGGCGGCCAATTTCCATTCTCCCTTCAAAATCGAATGAACAGATGTCGGAATCATGCCCCACGGTGGGCGCCAATTGTTTGTACCGACTTGCTCCGTATCGAACAATGATATTTGTGGGTGTGGCCTATAATAGGCCGGGCGACGCGAGCTGAAGGGTAGAGCGGGCCGCGAGTGGGTATTGAGGCGGAAGGTGGGCCAGAAACGCGAGCTGAAGGGTAGAGCGGGCCGCGAGTGGGCTTGAGGCGGATCCGCGAGTCCGGTAGCAGGGTTGGAGTTAAGGCTGGCCGCGATACGGTGATGCGGAGGTGCATGAACAGGCCCGCGAGTGGTGGTGGGCCCATTTGGCGCGGGCGCGGGCCGACGGATCCGTAGGCCGGATGGAGATAAGTGTCGCGCGGCCGCCAACTCCTTCACTTTTTCTTTTTGTTTCCTCCTCTTCCCAAACTGCTTCCGACTTCCTGGTGCTTCAATTAAATGCCATGGCGTCCATGACTTCAGCGGGAACGTTGGGGTGAAGTTTCCAAGTTTATTTCTTCTTCCCGCTCGCTGGCTTGGGCGCAGCTACATCGTGGAAGGCGCGTTTCGGGACGACAAGACGCTGCCTCGATAAACCCGTTGTTTGCCTCAAGAACTCCACCTGTCTTTTCCTTCTGACAAGCAGAGAGCAACGCCATCTTTTGGGGAACCAGTTGGATGTGACAACTCCTTGCGACCACAGCTTATTCTCTTTCTCCGATGGTCGGAATTTGGGAAGATGGTGGGTGGTGTGGCGTTTGTGGAAACTTCTTCGGCGGAGATGGGTTGGCTCGCCGGAATCTGGGCTGCTGTTACTCTTTTTTTTTTTTTTTTTTTAAATCAGACTCTTTGGTGCAAAGTTTGATTACTATTTCCGAGCTTCCCTTTTCCAGTTGGAAGCCTTTCTCGGAGACGACTTCTGGCGGTGGGTAAAGGAGTTGGTGAAGGCGGCGAGAATGGATTTTTGGATTGGTTCGCTGCCGTCGACGAAAACTTTCTTGCTTTGACCTTCCGGCGGAACTGTGTTGATGCTGCTTTGGAGGGTGGTAAACGCTTTAAGCTTTTGTGAAGATCCAAATGATCTTCTCTTTATTGTCGAGCTCCTCTCCCCTTTCTTTTACTCGGCTGGCCCTCAAAGAATTTGGCAGCTGCTGTGGCGCTTAGTTGGTGGAGAAGATTTCGAGCTCTTCCCAAAAACAATCAGATATGGATTTTTTTTTTCTTGCAGCTACCGTCGAATGGTGTTAAGAGGCGGCCAATTTCCATTCTCCCTTCAAAATCGAATGAACAGATGTCGGAATCATGCCCCACGGTGGGCGCCAATTGTTTGTACCGACTTGCTCCGTATCGAACAATGATATTTGTGGGTGTGGCCTATAATAGGCCGGGCGACGCGAACTGAAGGGTAGAGCGGGCCGCGAGTGGGTATTGAGGCGGAAGGTGGGCCAGAAACGCGAGCTGAAGGGTAGAGCGGGCCGCGAGTGGGCTTGAGGTGGAAGGTGGGCCGGGTGACGCGAGCTGAAGGGTAGAGCGGGCCGCGAGTGGGCTTGAGGCGGATCCGCGAGTCGGGTAGCAGGGTTGGAGTTAAGGCTGGCCGCGATACGGTGATGCGGAGGTGCATGAACATGCCCGCGAGTGGTGGTGGGCCCATTTGGCGCGGGCGCGGGCCGACGGATCCGTAGGCCGGATGGAGATAAGTGTCGCGCGGCCGCCAACTCCTTCACTTTTTCTTTTTGTTTCCTCCTCTTCCCAAACTGCTTCCGCCTTCCTGGTGCTTCAATTAAATGCCATGGCGTCCATGACTTCAGCGGGAACGTTGGGGTGAAGTTTCCAAGTTTATTTCTTCTTCCCGCTCGCTGGCTTGGGCGCAGCTACATCGTGGAAGGCGCGTTTCGGGACGACAAGACGCTGCCTCGATAAACCCGTTGTTTGCCTCAAGAACTCCACCTGTCTTTTCCTTCTGACAAGCAGAGAGCAACGCCATCTTTTGGGGAACCAGTTGGATGTGACAACTCCTTGCGACCACAGCTTATTCTCTTTCTCCGATGGTCGGAATTTGGGAAGATGGTGGGTGGTGTGGCGTTTGTGGAAACTTCTTCGCCGGAGATGGGTTGGCTCGCCGGAATCTGGGCTGCTGTTACTCTTTTTTTTTTTTTTTGAAATCAGACTCTTTGGTGCAAAGTTTGATTACTATTTCCGAGCTTCCCTTTTCCAGTTGGAAGCCTTTCTCGGAGACGACTTCTGGCGGTGGGTAAAGGAGTTGGTGAAGGCGGCGAGAATGGATTTTTGGATTGGTTCGCTGCCGTCGACGAAAACTTTCTTGCTTTGACCTTCCGGCGGAACTGTGTTGATGCTGCTTTGGAGGGTGGTAAACGCTTTAAGCTTTTGTGAAGATCCAAATGATCTTCTCTTTATTGTCGAGCTCCTCTCCCCTTTCTTTTACTCGGCTGGCCCTCAAAGAATTTGGCAGCTGCTGTGGCGCTTAGTTGGTGGAGAAGATTTCGAGCTCTTCCCAAAAACAATCAGATCTGGATTTTTTTTTTCTTGCAGCTACCGTCGAATGGTGTTAAGAGGCAGCCAATTTCCATTCTCCCTTCAAAATCGAATGAACAGATGTCGGAATCATGCCCCACGGTGGGCGCCAATTGTTTGTACCGACTTGCTCCGTATCGAACAATGATATTTGTGGGTGTGGGTTGACTCGTCGTCCGTTCGTCCGATTTCGTCGGGAGGGAGAGAACCTGTGAAAGAGCCGGGGTTGCCCCCCGGATTAAGCTCCGACGATCAAGTTAGTGTCGGTTTGTGAAGAGAGTTGAGAGAATAAGGTAGAGAGATAAAGTGTAGAGAGATATTGGAAAGTGGAAAGTGAGGAGAGAGAGAAAAGTCCCCTTTTCTTTGGAGGGCTTCAAGCCCTTATATACCTGTAGCTGGTATCGAGCGTTGGGCATCGCCGATTATGCGCCCTACTACTTAGTCTGTGCGCGGAGTATCTTAGTAACACCCCCAACAATTACCTAACCGGAGAATCACAATAGAAGACAAAAGTGTTGGTTAGTATTCAAGCTACCTTTCAACGTTTACCAAAGATTAATGTCATGAAAAATTAGATTGACTCATGCATCTTTCACTCCACGAAAATACCTATAATAGGCTCCGTTGCCATGATTTGAAGACAAATCATCTGCCATCGACTGGAAATTATGGGGGGTCTCGTTGCTCGGACATCAAGTCAGGGTCTAGGAGCAAGACCCTGCATGGAGAAAGGGTATATATGCCTTCTCAATTTCTGTAATTTGCATCTCCTCAAGTATAGTGAAACTGGTCTCTTCTACCGTTGATTAGCTAACACACATTGTGTTAGTGCACCACGTAAATCTTTGTCTTCTTCTTTTTTACATTTTTCATTTCTCATTCTACTACATCAGCCTCTAAATTGAAAGTCATGCAATTATAGCTCTCATCAACTAAGTAGAGAGACCCGAGTCCGACTTTTCACAATAGTCATAATATATTGAATTTGCTTCTTGATCCGTCAAAGTGCATTCTAATAGGAATAGCCTTTGCTTTTATCATATTGATGCACTCCTTGTAGTGTTAGGTGTGTTTTCAAGGTATAGCAACCTAATGGAAAAAAATTTATTGTCAAAGGTACATCATTACTCAACTACTAGGAGCCAGAAACAAGAAATGGAAAGAATTCTAAAACGACACCCAAAATGGAAAACTAACCAAAGAAACGCGCCTCTAGCACCATTTTGAGGATTGACCATAATTTTCGAAATTCTTCAAGGAATATACCCTTCATGAAGGTCAAGCTGGAAGAGACAAAAGGGAAGAAAAAGACATGTCATTTGACTGTCTTCTCTCCCCAAAAATTCTAATAGAAAATCTATAAATAGAGTTTTAGGGGGATTTCGGTACCCAGTGATAGGAGACATTAAAGGGTATTTACTCTGTCATCAGAGCAACCCACTTGATTTATAACTACGCCGATCACTATAGGGTAATCGGCGCCCGAATTGGTGGCCTAGACACCAAAATCTATGTTCGATGATCCGATTTTAGAGACTACGTGGAATCATCGTTATGACTGAGGAATTTCATGGCTTTCGGCCTTATGGTCAGCTATTACCCTTAGTTGCATAGGTTTTCAAATCGTATAGAATCTTGACTTTGTATCTCGATTTTGGCATAATATGATTGATGTTATTCTTCTTATCTTTTGTGTTTGATTTCTTTTATGTATTCTTTTATTAAATTGAATCATTGCCTAGGTCAAGCTTGCATCCCTTCATGGTGTAAGTATAAAAAAACTAGTTGCATGGATCGAGACCTGCACGACAATACGGACACGATAATTTTGAACGATCGATCATCATTCTATCAACTAGCGTGACAACTCAAATGACACTTTCATAGGGTCTAGAGCTGTGTTTCCTACTGGACCGCGGCAAGAAGCCTCGACACAAGTTAGGATCATTTACATAAAAGATCAATTGCTCATATGTTGCCAAGATCTAGGTACGAGTCACGAAACTCTATGGGTAGTTTTGCTTATGCAACGTCTATCTCTTATGCTTCCTACATTCTCCATTAGCTATATGTTTCCTTTTCTACATCGAAATTTACTCTAGATTTGTAAAACCAAGGGGAACTAAACCTCAGAGGCACCTCAACCTGCACACTCGCTCACATAACTTGTTCCTCACCACCTGGGTAAGTGGTTTTGAGAGACCTTAGGGAAATACTATCATGGCCTTAGGGACATGTAAATTTGGACCACTACTACAAGCAGATCAAGTCTTCCTGGATTCCCTCAGCAAAATGATCTTGTAAAAATGAAGAATCGTCATGTCTTAGAACTCACTAGAGCACTATTAGTCGCCTCTCATGTACCCCATCAATTTCGGTCAGAAGCAATAACTATCACTTCGTCTCATTAACAACCATATTAATCCAATCCTCGTCCAACTCAGTCCTTTTTCCCTATTCATTCGTCATCCAGACTACAAGAGTCCTCATGTGTTTAGTAGTACGTGCTTTGTTCTTCTTTCTTGCAAGTAACATACCACACTTTTGTCTAAAACTATTTGTTGTGTTTTCTTAGGTTATAGTGATATCCGACTTATCCGTAAGTATATATGTGTTTCCATCGCAAACTTTTTCGTTTTCATATCTCTATGTTTTACTCTCCTTCATCTGATTCGCAACTCCATTTTACTTCTACGTCACCTCATCAAGTCATTTCATGATAATAAATATGATGCTAACAATGAGTAATTCCCCAATCCTCCTCCTCTTCAATACTCATGTATGATACTTGTCCCTCGTCATCCGACAAAAGCGTTGTTCTCATCATCATATTCAAGTTGTACCTCGCCTTTGCCGCCTCCGGTAGCAATGTCTGTTCGTAGATCTTTTTGAAGTAACTTTGGTAAGGAGCCCTCTCGCTTGGCAGAGTTTTATTGGTATGAGGCGAATGCTATCCCTATTTTTTCTCGTTACGAGGTATCTCAAGGAGATCCCATCTGGGAGCACTCGAACGATAAATTGCATGAGAACAACTCTTGGTCCAATGTTTCACGTCCACCACCCAAGGTTTCAGTTATTGGTAGTCGCTGGGTCTATACCATCAAATTTATACCTAATGGCATATTGATATCTAAAAAGCAAGACTTGTGGAAAAGGGATTTTCTTAGGAGTATATAGTGGATTATAAAGAGAATTTGCACTAATTGCGAAAATGCAAAACGTTCAGACCTTGATAGCAGTAGCATACATTCGTCATTTGCCACTATACCAACTTGATGTGAAAAGTTTCTTTCTTAATGGGGATTTCAATGATGTTGTCTACATGGAGAGACCTCCTAGTTACCACTACCTTCAATCTCAAGGAACTTGGTTTGCTCTCATTTTTCCTTGGCATTGAAGTTAAGCGAACTACGAAGGTAATCTCATTTGCCAAAGTAAGTATGTTGATGACCGGTTATTGGCAACTAGGTTCAATGAGTGTCAACCTGTTTCTACTCCCATGGATCTTTATCTCAAACTCAGCAAAGAGACATGCACACCTTTAAGTGATGGAAGTCAATACAGAAGTATAGTCGGCATTCTTATTTAGTTGACGAGTACGCATCCAGATATTTCATACACAGTACATATTGTTAGTTAGTTTATGTCTGCACCCACCAATTTACATTTTGGCCACAATTCATTGCATCCTTCATTACTAAAGAGGCACAAAGGACTTGGGTCTATAGTTGCCTTTGATATATCACCTAGTGGTGAGAGAAGCAAGATCGTGTTTCTAAATCCTTGACCGAAGTTGAGTATTGAGCTATGTCCGACAATGATTGTGTTGTCTTGGTGTGTCGTGTGAGGGTTCTATGAAGCTGTTTGTGGAACAATACAAGTGTTATACGCATAGCAACAAATCCTTTCTTGCACGATCGCACTATAAATAAGTACTAGACATTATACGTGCTTTGTTGTTGGGCCATGTTAAGAGGGAAACCCTACTGCACATTTTCAAATTTCAATAGGCATGAAGTAAAAAGCATGGCTCTTACGTCGGTGGAATATCGGTCCCCTTGAAGTTTTCAATAATTAAGCCTAATGCGGATTGATAAAAGGTTGACTCGGGAAGAAGCTAATAAATTATTTTGGATTAGTAGACTCCTTGGGTTGTCTGTGTGGTTCACCTTTTATCTTTGTTCCATTATCAGCAATGAATCTTCAGCAATGAATCTTTCAAGGTGAAAGAACAATTTACTTTTAGGTGATCTGGACATAAAGAGCAATTAACTTTCACCAATTAGAAGTGAGGATATAGTATCATGATTAAAAATAGTAAACAAACATATTGTTTGCTTGTTATCACGAATTAGAAGTGAGGATATAGTATCATGATTAAAAATAGTAAACAAACATATTGTTTGCTTGTTATCATGTTTCCTATTGGCAATAGCCAAGGTACATAGACATTTCTTTAGTCCTTAATTCTATAAACTCAAACCATAATATCATCAATAAAAAAATACTAATCGATGGTTTTGATTCGTCGAAATATATCAAATTATATCTAATATGTGTGAATTGATATATATTATACGTCAAGCATATGCTAGCCTTTGTTACACACATATATACACCAGTCATTACCATATATATTTATAAAAAAAAAACAAACTTATTGTTTAGTCGTTATCTTGTTCCTTTTGGCAACTGACAAGGCCTCATAACCAGTTCTTTAGTCCCTAATTATCTGAACTCATCTTGTTGACTAGTCTTGACATTCCTTGTCAGTTAGGGAAACTATGTAAAATCATCTTGTTCTTTGCTTCCTTAGCTTCATTCTCGATATCATAAACGGTTCTCAGCCGTATCTATTTCCTTGGCGAGGCCAAACCAAGACGCCTTCCCGTCGACTGGGTGGTTTTTGGCGGTGGCGGGCCTATTGGATTGGATTCTCGTTAGTGGAATTCTGTAACACTGTTGCTGTCAGAGAGCTAAGCTAGGCACGCATGAACGGCAAACAGAAATGAATCGTCCCCTTCTTTCCCCTTAATTTATTAATAATTTTTATCATTAGATCCAACCAGTTTTAATTTATATGCTCAAATTTCAGTTCGCTTTCTACTCTTTCCATTTGTAATTGTTTGTTAAGCCGCACTTGATTTAGCTGTATTAGTATTGGATTTTGACTTACAAATTTCATATAGAATTTTAGAGTGGAGTTATTGGGATAGGCTTAATTTGGACAAAAAGGGTTATAACTTATAAGAGCTGGAAGTATTTAGTCCAATAAACACTGCCATTTACACAAATGCAGGGCCGTTCAATGGATCGTGAAGGCCCTGTTCCAAAATCGAGATGTGGCCCATGAAATCTTTTTATAAGTTAATAAAATTAAAATAATTATAATATTATTATTCGAAATACAATATTTTTATATTTTTTAGTTTACATGAGATCATTTTCAATGGTTATCATAACTATTTCATTAAGATTTTTTTGTATTATTGTTAGTACAAATAGGTTTTTTGAAACACAAACAATACTTTAACCATCAATATATGTGTTTTGTGTATATATACATGAGATTATAAATCAATAACTAACACTAGTATTAATTAATATAATTAAACATATCACCATTCTCATAATCAATTAATCGTACACTAAAAATACAACCTACAATATACTATCGAATTAACTAACAAATCTAGATGGAGGCCC